TTGTCAGTCATATATAAAAGGTTCGCAGACGGCAATGATCTGGACACATCGCTATGCATTTCATGTGACCAGATCGTCGCTAGAATTCGGACTAAAAGTGCGGATACTGGATATGATAACTCATTTTTTCCTAAAATGAATACCTAAAATATTCTATAAATCAAAAGAAAATGACAAGGTATTGTATTGAGGGTAAATTTTAAGGTATTTTTTTGTTCTTTTAGAAATCAACCATTCTAAAACTCTTAGACTTGGGCGTTCATATTTTCAAATTCATATTTTCAAATCTATATCTATCGAAAAAGTTGACCGACAATAATATACATAAACACAAATTGAGATCATTGAAGAATGTTATGGTCATTGAATATATGGTTTCTGATAAAGTGAGAGAGTTTAAAGGTTGTTTGGGCAGAGTTAATGGTCTTTGATTTGGAGCTAACCTCCAGAGTAGAGCTAGACATCTTCATGTTGTATTTTGTCAATAAGCCCTATACGTTTAGGGTTGAAAAGAATTCCAGGGTGGAAGTGTACTTTCCCGGAGAGGATGAACTAGGAAGGCACCATGGTGTGGCAAATACCTAGGTTGTTGGTGCGAAGGTAGGACTAGGTGGAAGGTCGGCTGATAACTATGGCTGAGACATAGCGAGGGTGTTGTTGCTGACAGCAGAAATCTGCAAGAACGCAAGCAGGGAGACGCAGATTCGAGGCAAGGGATTTCCACTAGAGAGACAAAATCCCTTCTTGATTTCCACTAAAATGAAAAAGTCTCAGCTCCCGGGATTTCCACCGGAAAAAGAAAATCCCCTATGTTCGCAGGAAGAGGTCGCAGCTTCCTCTCTATTGGAGGTCCCGACTTCTATTCGATGAAAAATTTTGAACGCCTGGCTCCTGGGAAGGGCAGGTGAAAGAAAGGAGGCAATCCCAAAGAGAGCCTACACAGGTTGGCGGCTGTAGAGAGAGGCTCCGACAGAAGAAGAAGAAGAAGAAGAGCTAGGGTTTCTAATCAAGTTTTATGACTGCCTGAGCTCTTACCAATCAAAGTATTGTCCACATTGGGCAAATGGTCTTACGGTTTTGCCACGTTGGTGTAACTTCTCAAGAAGTCATCTATCATGAGTGCTCTCATACGAGTACACTTGGCTTTGGAGTTTTTAATGATATTTCACCGTTACACAAAAAGGCACCTCAATTTTTAAAAGTTCGGCTTCAAACTCTACTAAAGGGGTTTCACAATCTCCCACACTTAAGCAACTGATGTCCTTGTCAGTGATCTATACCACGAATCATCCACAATGCATATAGGATTGTAGAGGCGGCTCCATGACATAGAACTTTGTTTTGTATGGCAATTAGTTGCTATCTTTCGACTAGTTTAATACTTTAATATCATGAAAAAAGGTGGAAAAAATCTTATTTTCTTATTTCTTAATCATTAAATTACAGCTCTAATTTTTGTAATAAGGAATGGCTAGGACAACATTAATTACAACTTACCAAAGAAACACAACACAAGAAGGGAAAAAATATGATATGATAAGAAGGGAATAAAACTAGAAAAAAAGAAAACTAAGAATTCCACAATATATATATATATATATGTATATATATATATATATATATATATTACATTGGCGTCGGCAGCGGCAATGCCACTGTTAGGGTTTCGTTGGATGGTGGTTCCCGGCAGTAATTTCCTCGGTTTCTCACTTCCTCGCAGCTTTTCTCAAGACATATATATATTAACTCTACATTGGCGTCGGCAGCGGCAATGCCACTGTTAGGGTTTCGTTGGATGGTGGTTCCCGGCAGTAATTTCCTCGGTTTCTCACTTCCTCGCAGCTTTTCTCAAGACATTCGTTTGCAGCTGACGTCTTTGGCGTCACATCGTCTCTTAATAGACGACGTCTCTCGTGGTTCGACGACGCCTTGTCCTGTCGCGGTTCGCTTCCTGCACGACATCTCACTTGCAGGCGTCTCTCCCATAGGCGAGGGCGATCCCTTCGCTGTCGTCCTTCAACGCGTCTTCGATATCTTCCTGACGACGCGACTTCGCTTTTCCAAACGACTGTTGCTTTGCTACCCGACACACAGACACAATCTTGTCGGTGGAGATGGCATCGATTATCCATTCCTATGCCATTGCACTTACCAACGACTTCCCTATTCCTACACGTGCTCCTCTTTCAAGTTCAGAGATTGGTTTTCATATAGGTAAGTCTCGTAATGTTCCACAATGTTTCCATGAGGCTCTTGAAAGTGGTGGTGATCACACATTAAAAAACTTGGAAAAAAAAAAGAAAATCTGCTCTTATTCTCACAGAGGTTGAAACCAATACTCTCACATTTTCTTGGTGTTTTGCTCTAGTGGGAAATTTTCTTTATAGTCACCCAAAACTTGAGATCATTCGAAAAGAATATGATGCTATTAAGATGTTGGGTAGTTGGAATATTGGTCTATTTGACGGTTAACACATAATGATTCAGTTATCTCACGATGTCGATTACACTCGCATTTTTTCTCAAAAAATTATCAAGATCAATAATCGTCATATGAAAATTTTGAAGTGGACTGTTGATTTTAATCTAAAAGCGGAGTCCCCTATCATTTTTGTTTGGATAAAATTTCTGGGGTTAAAATTATATTTGTTCAACTAGAAAATTCTCTACTTCTTAGCAACTGCTTACGGTAAGTTTCTCAAGGTTGATAGTCCTACACTTGTTGTCACCAGACTCTCTGTGGCTTGTGTGCTAGTTGAGAAGGATATCACTCAACCAGTTCCGAAGGATATATGGATTGGAACTACTCACAACGGGTATTGGAAAAATGTTGAAATATAACCACACCCTTCTTATTGATCTCATTGCAGTATGTTTGGTCACAGTTCTACCATTTGCTATCGCTTACATCCTCATCTAAGGTTGGAGATCGCTAAAGATCAGTCACCTACCATCCCTGTTGAGAAGATGCAACTTGATCATCTTTCCAACACCATAATTCCTGACGAAGAACACCATACTACAGCTACGGATCCAGTCGTGCTTATACCACCCACTGTTATTGAAGAAGGTTCACTTACATGCCAAGATATACAAGAGTGCTCCTTTGATCCAACAAAAGATCAACAAGTACAACATGTAGTTGTTTCTAATGTTCAACAACCTACACATGCCCGACACATTTTAGACCAATTCACTGATCAGGTGAGTCAATCTTCGGATGAGGAATGGAAGGTCTATTCCAGGATGAAGAAGAAGAATGGCGGCCGACTCGAGCTCGGGTACTTATTGGATGATACATTGGTTACTACTGGCAATGACACTCATCTTACCAATTTATTAGCTGCCTCATTTCTCTATAACTAGAAGCAGAGGCAAGACCAAATTGGGTCGCTCTCTAACTACCTGATACTACGTATTTCGACACTTTTAGGTTTTTTCTTTACGTCTCTCATGTACTTTTCTGTATTTTCTCGTTTTGAAACCATTTCTGGTTATCGTGTAGTCATGCTGCCATGTTTAAGTCCTCTCACACATTGTATTTGTATCTTTCTTTCTAATTAATATATATATATATATATTAGTAATAACTTGGCCACAAAAGAAAAGTTAATTTCCAAGGATTGGCATCAAAGAAGAAAATAGAAGAAGAAATAGGTGTGAGTTAATAAAAAAAAAATATGAAGCTTTACATAAATACCACTTAATTCCAATGTATTACTATAACTAATACCTAAATTTTAATTTTTACAAATATGTAAAACTTTCATTTCAAAGTTCTATATCTGTGTAAATATGAAAGTAAAGGTACGAGATTGGTAAATACATAAGTATTGTGTGCAGTGTGTAGTGTGCAGTGTGTAGTGTGCAGTATATGTAAATGCCCCAAAATAATAATAATTGTTATGACTAGGGTTGTCAAAAAAAACTCATTCATGAACTCATGATCGGCTCATTAAATAGCTCATGTTTGGCTCATTGATTAAGTAAACGAGCCGAACACGAATGACCTTTTGTTCGCTCGTTTTCGGCTTGTTTTAACTTGAAATAAATAAATTATATATATTATTTATATAATAATATATTATATACATTAATATCTAAGTTTAAATCATAATAACTCGTGTGGTCATGTGATTATGCATCTTTTATTACACATAATTGTACAGGTTTGAATCCAACACCCTACTTCTATTTTTTCTAATTAATTTTAACGAGTCAAGTTCAAGCCGAACACTTACAAAAATACTTAAATCGACCCGAACACAAACACATTGTTCACGAGTAAATTTAGATTACAAGCCGATTTCGAACACGAGCAATTTCGAATGAGTCGAACACAAGCCACTTAAGCTCGCTCAAGTTCGACTCGTTCAGCCCTAGTTATAATCATGCAAAGCCCATGCCTTATCAACCCCATTAGCAAATGATGAAACACCGTAAATACATTTTGCTTGCCTTTAGAAGGTATTCGTAGAAGGAATCAATGCTTGTACCAATGCCGGCATCCTGCACAAAGGAAATTGCGGTCAAATATATCAGTTACAACCACAGTTAATGAACTATGATGAATTATGTTAAAAAATTAGTTGAAAGAAAGATTAGCAAACAAACTATTCAATTCTTATGAATTTACACATCTAACACCTAAACTTTGATTTTTACATACACACCACCTTCCTTATTGATGAAAACATGTATTTCACCTTTTAAAAATTAAAATAATGGTATTTTTGATGTGATATGAAAAATTTAGGTGGTATTGATGTAGAAAGCAAAGTTTGGATGCTAGATATGTAAATATATAGGAATTGGGTGGTATGTACTCAAGTGTCCCTACTTAAAATTATACATGGTTACAGTCATTCACACAATTTCAAAGAAGATACAAGAGTTATTTTCAACCAAGTATTGGTAAGACTAAAATGCCCTCGTTAGCAATCCGATTGGCAAAACTAACGGGTGACAAAACTGTGCAATCTGTCATGCAGATATTTGGCCATCAAAGCTCTATATTTTAGGGAAATTAAATACGTATCACACAAATCTTATGCATTTACATATCAGACGCATAAACTTTCATATGTACATACATAGCACTTTGGTGTTTTAAATCTATGCTTGAAAAGGTGTGTTCCACTTTTAAAAAGTGATAATTTTTTAAGTGATTAACAATTTGAGTGCTATGTGTGAAGATATGAAAGTTTAGCTGAGATATGTAAATACATTATAATTGATGGCTATGTATGTAAATGCCCCTATATTTTACATAAAAGAGAAATCAAATAACAAAATTAGAGAATTGTTCACGCTGAGTTGCATATTATTATTTTACCATGAAGGGTTGGCAGTTAGCAACTTGGACTTCTAAATGTCCACGAAATATGTCTGAGCAAATGCTCTTGAAAACTGCATCTATATGACAATAATGTGCTATGCTGAAACAGTATCTTGACATTTGGCCTACTATTGTCATATACGGAGTGAACCATATGAAAGCAAGAGAAAATGATAAAAAAAGGTTCTAAGATCTTTTTCCACAAAAAAAAGTTGCGACAGTTTTTCTAAATCTCAATTTCTTTTTGGTAAAACATGGTAGAAAATGTTGCAAGTTTTACTTAAGCCTAAAAGATAAGGTTGTACACTAGTCGAACTTTAGCAAGCACAACGTCTATTCATGTTCAGCTGTTTAAGAATTTGCTTGTTTGAATTCAAATCATTTTCAAAGTTCGTTAATATGATGCTCAAATATGAATCTACCAACAGCTTTCCTGCTGCCAAGCTGCTCTTCAGCTGCCGATTGCACCATATTTCAGCGGCCATCACTCCTTTGTTGCATGTCCTACTAATAACCTAACCTGTCCCTTAATTTTTCCACGCCATCTAGGAATCCTAGATCGGCGTTATGTAATAATAATGGTTTTGACGTATTTTGAAGTACATCCATAGTAAGTCAAAAAAAGGACAATCCTAGTATACTATTAATGGATCATAAACTCGTAGTTTATAAAGATAGTTACGATGACTACTTTCTTAGACATCTCACAATTGATATAAACACTTGAGGAATAAACTAGTTCACCACAGATTGATTATTATATTCCTGAAATCTTTAAAAGCATGATGAAGATATCAAAAAATTTAAAAATATAAACCCCAAACATTAAATCCTAAACTCAATAAGAGGATATCAAAATTTATTTATAGCTCCAAATGAAATTTGATTATAAGAACGAGAGAATATTACCAAAGTTTATGTAGAAATTCTCCAACAAAAGGGCATACATAACGAAGTTTGCATTTAGAGTAAAATCAATATCATTTACCTTAAAAAATCACCTAATAAATGATATTTGGGCCTCACTAATCATGAATAGTTAATTATTTTTTGCTTGATGTTTAACTAAATCATACTGAATACTATGAAATTTGGTTATCATTGACCTTAAAAAAATTACATAATAAATTGGATATTTGGGCCTCACTAATCATGAATAGTTAATTATTTTTTGCTTGATGTTTAAGTAAAATCATTATTGAATACTACGAAATTTGGTTAAAAGCACTCTATCCCTGTATTTAAAAAAAAAACAAGAAAAAGACAGACAAAGAAATGTGTCTTACCAAAAATAGGACCTTTCATTCTCTTCGTTATCCACACCATCTACCTTATTCTACAATACGCCCACCGTGCACCCAATCAAAAAGCCAAAACAAATTAAGAAGAAAGGAAAGGGGTCATTTTAGAGAAACTAAGCTATAGAGAGAGAGAGGCAGAGAGAGAAACTACTGGAGATACAGAAAAAAGAATAGTGATTTACCAACAACTAAGACATTCTCCATACCAACAATCCATATTCCATCTAAATCCACAGAGCGCCCAACTAAAAAAACAGTCTCAACAATTACAAATAGAGCGAGCAAGGGGAGAGGAGGAAAGGGGATGTAAGGGGAAAGAAGCGTAAGATAATGAGAGATAAAAAGGGTTCTCACTATATAAGCTTGTACGTTTAGACAGTTTAATTTGTTTCCATCTATGTTCCATAACTACACAATTCCTTAACTCCCAATCTCCTTTCCAAATATCGCCATCCTCAAGTGTATAAAAAAGTACGAGGGGTCAGAGGATGCTACGTGAACAATCTAGCAAAAGATTATAAACTTTCATCTTTCCTCTATGTTTATAAATTATGTGTTCTATTTACTAATTAAAAGTTAAGCTGGCACAGAATATAGTTCCAAAAGCGACCAATGCTACATTCAACATTTAACAATTTACTATCACCTTTTGTGTCCATTCACCCGAAAATACATTGATGTGAGCACCAACAAGGTTTATTTTTGATCGACGTGCCCAGATTCCCCTAACTGCGTTCTTTGTTACTTGTTCAAAAACTGCATAATACCCATTTATTAGTATTGCACCGTCAAAAAGCATTTATTATCATATAAAAAACTTTAATACTGTTATGAAACGAAAAGAAAAAGGAGAAGATTCCCAAGCCAATTGTCAGGAAAGATGATATTGTTGTAACTATTAGTCAGCTCCAAAAGATAGCATAATAAGCCATTATAAAAAGAAAATTTACAAAATTTAAAAGGGAAATATAAATACCTTGCACACAATTCTAATGTATTTGCATATCTCACACCTAAACTTTCATATTTACATACACAGTACTTTCGCGTTTTAAATCTACTGATACCGGAGTTGACCCTAAAAACTATATAGGAAAGGAAATATTATCATTGAAAGAAAATAGACGGTTACAAATGATGCCCTTAAAGGGAAATGACAACTACAAATAAAAGCGAACACAACTAAAGTTGCATCCAAGGGGTGGTGGTTGGTGGCTATTGGTGGTCCGGAATGGTGATGGTAAGGTTGGAAGGTGGAGGGCGAGAACAGCGAGGCAACAGCAGCTGTTAGCTGACCAGGATGTCAGCAAGCAGGTAGCAAGGTATGGAAGCAGTGAAACAACAAAACAAAAGGGTTACGAGGAGGCAGTAGTGAGGTGGGATGACCGGAAAGCAGTAAACAGCAAAATGAATGGGTTGCGGGTTGCGGGTTGCGGGTTGCGGCAATGGAACAAGACGGCCGGACAGCTTGTAGACAGCAAGGGGAGAGAGATGGTGGGGTTGTGGCAGCGAGTCTGGATGGCGGAACAGCAGCAAAACAGCAAAGCAGGAGAGTTTTGAGGCTGCGGCTGTGATTTAGGATGGCTGGAGGGTGGTAGGGGTTGAGGCTGCGTGGTAGGCGGTTGAGAGGAGGTGGAGAGAAGTACAGGGGACAGCAAGGTGCTGTTTTGTAGAGAGACTGCAGCAGTAAAGTCGACGGCTGCAAACAAAGGATGTAGGGCTAGGGTAAGTCGAAGATAAAAATCACCTCGAAAGAAAAATACAGTTGAAGCACCACTTGACTCTTGTAGCATAATCACCACCTTGAAATGAGATACAACATGAGCGCCACTCGCCCTTGGATACAGCACTAGAAGAGAAAACAGTAGACGCCGACAGTTGTCCTAACAAAAACACAGTAAAAAAGCACCAATCTAAACCCTAATACAACAAATATATCGGAAAAGATTAGAAATGAATGAAAGGAAAGAAGCAAACTTGCTAAAATTGGAAAGGAATTGAAAACAGGACTGCTTGGTTCACCTCTATATCGTTAGCATGAATTGGTCGAGTGTGAGGTCATGGAATCACGAGAAGCCAGGATTCACTTCTGTAGAGGGAGACACCCGCGCAGTCTCCCGAGGATACAAGAGCTTCAATCTCATTTGTCGAAGCTTTTATCTGAACATTGATAGTGACAAAGATGTTGTAACCTCCTAGAGCTGAAGAATTTTTTATTACGGCCCTAGAAGAACCTGGATAGTTCTCGTTACACTCTTCCATTGTAAGCTCTTGATCAACGTTTGACAACTGTCTCCTCGCTGACATGACTAGGGTTTAGGGTTGGAGGAGTGAAAGGGTGTGGGGGGGGGATGTAGGGTGGGAAGGAGAAGAGCAAGGAGGAAAGCAAGGAGGAGGGTTTTCGTGTGCGGCTTTGTGCAAGAGACGAGCATGGAAGCCAACCAATCGAGAGATTGCTTTCTTTATTAGACCGAATTGAGAACTTATAAGGTAAATATAAAAAAATTTAAGTGAAAGGAATAACATTTGGTTTGAGACGAGAGTAGACGATGAAGGAAGAAAAAGGTTGAGAGTAAATGAAATTAATATTTTAAATGTATTAACTTAATTTTGATATTTATTATAATATTTATGTTAAGTCAAATTAATTATTAGTAAAAAATCAAGATTTAAGGTAAATTGATTATAAGATCGGCAAACTGAAATATTTGACTTCAAATAAAATAAAAGCGAGTAATTATGTTTTTTTAAGTTACAGTAATATTTCTTGTTTTAAAATATATGCTTGCTTACAATTTTTCATTATTATGTTTTATGTCAATAAAATTAATCAAATATGATTCTTCATATTGTTAGTCATGAAGTATTCATGTTAAATATTGTTATCTTAACAGTTGCATAATAATTTAGAGATGTATAAGTTAGCTTATTTCATTGTCAGATATATGTCATATTAGTATTTGACCTTTAAATTTTTAGTAAATGTGCATATATCAGTTTATTGTCTGACCTATAAGACTAGTAAGATTGCATTTATTCATGAGTATATAGAGACAAAGTGTTTCATAAGATAAGAAAACATAATATTAAAGAATGAAGTAGTAAATATATTAATATTTGTATGTGCATGCTAAGAAGAGAAATTCACCCCCTTATGACACAAGCAAGGAATACCAATGTACCTGCTCGTGTAGATGTTATCCTACCACCCCAAATAATTGTAATGTTTAGATCGATAACCGTTGTGCCGACAGGAAGATGGCAGTCAGGAAAGTGCAGTGGACAGCAAGGTATTATTTTGTAGGGCTGCAGCAGTAATGAAGTCAACGATGGCCACGAAGGAAGGATGCGAAGTGAGGGGAAGTCTAAGATAAAAGTTATCTCGGGGGAGAGATGCAACTGGAACACCACTCGACCCTTGAATAATAATCACAACTTCGAAATGAGATACAGTCGGAGCACCGCTCACCCTTAAGACAACTTTAGAAAGAAAAACAGGAGACATTGAAGGTCATCTATAACACAATCAAAAACTCTAATCTAGACCTTAATACAACGCATATATAAGAAATAAATAAAAATGAATTGAAAGGAAAGGAGAATACTTACTAAATTTGGAAAGGAATAAAAAACGAAGACGCTCAGCTCGACTTTAAGCCGTTCGCATGAACCGGGAGTGCGCTGGTCAGTGGTCACAGGATCGCGGGAAACTCGCTTTTTCTACTGCAGCGGGAGATGCCCACCTCACTTATTCATAAGGTTTATTTGACTTTTAAAAGTGATAATATTGTTATTTTTTTATGTAATATTAAGGATTTGAGTGCTATGAGCGTAAAAATGAAAGTTTGGGTGGGGTGTGAGACATGTAAATACATTAGAATTGTGTGTTATGCAAGTAAACGCCCCAATTTTTAAAAAAATAATAAGAATAACTATTGAATTAATGTCTACAGCATGACAAAATAAAATGAAAACCACCCGAATAACCTAATAAAAATTGCCCACAGAAAAATGTATGGTATATTGAATAGCTGTCAACCGCAAAGATCATATAGAATCACAATTTTGATGCAAATCATACAAACCTAGGATTAAAAATTAAGATGCATTTAGACCTTCTTTCATTCCGCTTTCATGCTGCCTAACTTTTCAAAAATTACCTTGACTTAGATGGGAAATATGCTTAGAAAAAAACTTTTTTGCAAGTGCGCCTTTACATGACATCATGATTATATGGACTTGACTATGGAGCAACTCACGCTTCTATGCAACAGCCACGATCTTAATTCAACAACACAAGAAAAGCACATCACAATGCAGTTTTATCAAAATAGACCTAAAATGAATTTATAGCATTATCATTAAAAAAAGTAGTGGAACATAAGCCATCATATTTACAGCAAAGTTGCATAAGCAAGAAATAAAGCCAAAGAGAAACCGCATGTCAACAACTATAGATAAATCACTCTAGATCTGATAGTACCAAATGATAAACTAAAAGAAAGTATATTTATGTAATAACAAGTTTTATGACAAATACTTGAGAAATTGAAAGTCAATAATACGGCAATAAACAATGACCAACTACAAAAAGTTAAAGGACAATAGTAATTTTGACTAGATTGTAACATGAAATTTTCATATATCCATTTACACGCTCAAGTGTTTGCCTGCTCACTCTCCAGCTTCCATAAAGAGGTCAATGTTGTGATGATAGGGGCTTCTCTAGAGACTTAGAAGGAGAGCGACCTATTAATTTAGGGCTTGTTTGGGATAACTTTGCTATTTATTTTCTATCTTTTTTCTTTTATTTTGTTTTGTTTATGTTTTTATTTAAAACAAAACTTATTGACATATTTGATTAAGATACAATTATTTTTAAATACACTAGAAATACCTAAAATTATTTTGAATGTTTTCAAAAACATATTTAAAAATAAAAAAATATAAATAGGTAAAAACATACTTAACAAATAGGTTTCTAAAAACAAAAACTAAAATAAAAAATAAATTTGATCCCAAACAAGCCATCAGTGTGGATTTATTTGCAAGTGTTCACATTGATCCTCATGTGTTAATGCATAAACAGGTGTGTCAAAGGGTTGAATTTCATCGGAAAGATAATGCACATTCTTATTCTAAAAATGTTTTCAATACTAAGAAAAGTAAAGGCAATATTAACAGCATTCAGTCTTTCACGACCACAAAACATGATGAAAGAACTTGAGAGGCGGTCCAAATATTGGAAATAATTGCAGAAGATGAACGGATAAAAAGTCAATTTTAGAAGACAATTTCCTGCCATTGCAAGAAACTTTAGACATATAAGTGAAGATTATCCATACAATTAAAGATAGAGTCAAGGAGAAGAAGGATAGATGTCAGCATTGAGAAATAGCCCTGGATGTCCTATTCACGTTGTCCCCCTTCTCCGTTTATTTTAATACACCACCCACCCCTCCCCCTCCCATATAATAACTCTGAAAATAATTATAAAAAAAAATTAAAGCCATTGCAAAATGATTAAAAATATAGTTTCTACAAGAAAATTTAACTTTACAAAAAACTTACTAGGATTATTGGTTAGGCGACTCAGCACTCCGAATTCCAATGTCAAAGTACCACCACCAGCTGTTGATGTTATCTAAAGACATTCAAACTGCATATTAAAATAACTTTAAATCGATTTTGGCACATCGATTCTGAACACTACCACCAATTAGCATAATATTTTGCACATCAACGATAATGCAATGGTGTATTTTAACTCCAAAAGGCCAACTAATAAACAAAAACCATTGACAACATGGATTAAATACAGCCATAAAAAAAAAGAAGTCATAAAGATGAGATTATGGATTGATACACATATTTAAGAGAAGAAACAGAAGCAAGCATGTAAAGAAACATATTCATCTGCAAATCAAAAGTGATTGGTTAAGGACAAAATAAAATGCAGCATGGGTCCTTATACTGGATCAGAACTTGATGTCACACCATGTTTAAAGGAATGCTGGTGCAGAAATATAATATCAAGTTTACAATATTCTTCAAGCAAAATATATAAATGATCTCGTCAGAAAATATGAAAAAAGTAAATATTTTATTATAACTTTCGATTATATTTGATAGAGTGTTGAAATATAAAAATCAATCCTGAAACAAGAAAATTTAACAAAATAAAGAATGCAAAAAAAATAAATAAAAGCATGCCTGGCTTTCATGCTCATCAACACCTAGTAAAAGATTAACCGATCCAAATGGGATTCCTGTAAAACATGCCACAGAATTAATCACCATATTGACAAACTTCTTAAGCAAATGTTTTAAGAATTAGATCATGTAGAAAAAACAAAACCTTCTCTTAATATAAACCCCATGAACCCTGACCCCCAACCACCTCCTTACAATGTTTCAAAAGCGGCCAAAAACTATTTATGAGTAGATCAGCAAAGTTCGACAATAATATAATTCAAAAACAGCTCATTCATAAGCTGGGATACTTCTTTACAAACCAAAAAAATGTCCACAAAGTGTCTTTAACTGAAGCCTGAAAATAATCCTACCAGTATCCTTAGCGGAAGTGACTTTAACAAGAATTTTCTTAATAAAAAAAGGGAAACTTACGTGCAGCACACAATTCTTATGTATTTACATAATTCACATCTAAACTTTCAAATTTACATATTTTGCACTTTGGTGGTTTAAATATATGTATGAAAAAGTGTATTTTATTTTTAAAAGTGATAGTAGCGTTATTTTTTATGTGATATTAAAGATTTGAGTGTTGTGTGTGTAAATTTGAAAGTTTAGGTGTGGGATATGTAAATACATAAGAATTGTGATATGTACGTAAATGCCCCTAAAAAAATCATATAAACTTAAACTAGAAATTACAATACTAAAATGTATTGCAAAGTAAATAAAGTAGTCTAGATGCATCATATAGAGATTTAAGAGACATCCCCCTTTGCATAAAAGCAACATAGGTCCTAAAAAATGCTTAGAAATTAAGGAAATAAGCAATTTCAAGTAGAAAAAACAACGTACTAAAAATTAATCAAAGACACTGAATAAGACATAAACCAAATACCATAACAAAAAACAACCAACATTTTAATTCAATAATTTTCTTCCAAAATCATTTCAACTGGAAAAGAAAAACGAATTTTCAAATTAAAAACAAGCATGAGTTTGGTAATGGAATGAAAATTTTATATAAGAAAAAGGAGGATTTACATATATACCACTCAATTCTTATGTATTTACATAGCGAACACCTAAACTTCAATTTTTACTGACATACTACTTTACCTATGCATGAAATGGTATATGATACGAAATTTTTGGGTGGTATAAAGATAAAAAGCAAATTTTAAATGTTAGATATGTAAATTCATAAGAATTGAGTGGCATGCATGTAAATGCCCCTAGGAAAAAATAATGGATCTACAAAGTTTAATATGATATATAATATAAAGGTTTTCATTCAAGTTTACCCCTCAGTAGTACTACAATGTATTGTTCTATGCCACATCACTTAAAATAAATACATCAAAACAAGTAAAGAAATTAGGCAGTGTGGAAAGTTAAATAATAGAACTTGAGAAGACAAGTTTGGTAAACTATATAGAATAGGAAAGAAGGTTTTCCTGATACCTCTATTGATTAAGTTAGTAAAGGTTTCTTGCTTCCAAATACTTTCATCTCTACGAGGGTTAGAATTTCATACATGCTCGTTCCTGGCCTTGCATTCTCTCTTCCAGTTCGTTCGTTATCTTTCATTTTCATGTGAATAAAATAGAACGGTTTATCAAAGCATTGCAGCAATCTTGTCCTCCACACAGCCTTCTAAGAAATATTGACATGAATAGCTTTTAGTTCGTTTGGTTATAAGTATTATATGTAAATAAGAGAAATCCATCGCACTTATTACAAGCAGCCTCAAAACTAAATTCTGGATATTTCAAAGGTTTAATCCTCATATGAAGAAAAAAATCTTAATTTACAAGTTCCAGTGCCGTGGGGCTTAGAAGCTTGGAACTATCGGTCCAGCCAGCATTGCCACCCAAGAGAGAGGGTTCCCCCTTTCCTATTCTGCCGCCCACCACTTCCAAGTCTATCACTTTCCCTTTCTATTCCCTTCTTATTCCATCTTTTTCCTTTTCTATTACCTTCTATTTCTATCTAATAGCATCTATTATATTTATAAGCTAATTTTCTTGCTTAGAGTTTAGATTTTGATTGTTGCGGATTCCAGACCTCTGCCTTCGGGCTTTTCCCCATTTGAGGTTGTATCTGACAGTAATAAGATGCTCCGACTGTAACTCGCACAAAGCAGTGATTAATTCTACTTGTTTCATTTCTTCTTATTGTCGTCCAGTCCAACGCAATGCTTCTGCCCGTTGCCAACTTCCTCTTGCATCTTTTTATAGGCCGCTCCTTCCTCTGGCATCTTCTTGCTTGCTTATTGTCTCCGTCCTCCAGCATCTTCCAAGCCGCAGATTCCTCTAGCCTCTTCCTGCAGGCAGCTCTTTCTTTCGCCATCTTCCTGAAGGCCACTCCTTCCTCTGGCATCTTACTAACAGGCAGCCCCTCCTCCAGCCCTCCTCCAGCAGGCCGCCTTTCCTCCAGTTCTCCTCCAGCAAGCCGCCCTTCCTCTGGCTCCCCTCCTGCAGGCCACACGACCTCCTGCACTTGCTAGATAGACTGTCGGCCCCTCTAATCCATTCAACACCACAGCCACTGCTTCCAACACCCTTTAGCAGACCGCTGCTGCTTCTTGTTCATTCCAGCACTGTCACAGCTCCCTACAATCCGATCTAGTCCTGCCACTCTCCCCTAGAGGAAGTGTTATGTGTTTTGTGTTATTTTTATTCTTATTTTAAGAAGTCACCATTGTGACTTTTCAACTCAGTAATAATACTTCTTTTTCTTATGAGGTTTGGGTTTAACTATGGCATCATCTGGTGAAGAACAATTAGAATTCAAACAAAATTATACTTGTAATTCACAAAGTGGTAATTGTCATAGCAAGAGGAAATCTACACATAACATAGATAAAAATAATCAAGGTGTACTGAATAGAAAGGAAAATCGATAAAGTAAATGTAATAGGACCATCAATTGTACAAATAGACTTGTAGAAAGTAGCGCTAACACCTCATGTAGCACTTAAAAAGAATGAATTGTAAAAGAGGACACGTAAAATCTACCCACTAACTTTTTGGCACAAGGCTGATGAAAAGTTGTCTTAAAATAGGACATTAATAGCAACAATTGGAGCAGCAGCAGTAATATAAATAACCGCCACCTTATATCAACTAATCTATGTTACACGGACACGGGGACACAACACTACACAGACATGAGACACGTCTATTATTGAAAACATGGGACACAGACATGTGTTAGACACGTCATTATAATACAAATTATTAAAAATATATGTATATATTAAATAAATAAAAAGAAGAGTTAATAACATTAACTTTCAAGAACTAAGATGCTCATAGATATATCTTTAGCTTATGACATAAAAAATGAAAGCATAATAACATAAATTATCTTGTATTACATTAAAATTTAACTTTGCTAATTCATTAAAAGAAATAAAACCTAATAATAAGTAATAAATTAATAATGCATCCCGTATTCCCGTAAGACTGAGTGTTATTTCCTATAAATTTTGTGGTGTTTACACACGCACCACCGAATTCTTACAAATTTACATACCTTACATCTATAATTTGATTTTTATATTTATGTCACCCAAATATTTCAGATCATATCTAAATATATAAATTAAATCAAATGAAGTACATCTTTTTACTTTTATACATATGTAAGGTGACATATAAGAAAAAATAAAAAATTTGGTGTTAGATATATAAATACATAAAAATTGAGTTGCATGCATGTAAGTCATTCCTAAATTTTACATTTTTTGTTATTTTAATCTTAAAAATATTTTTTAAATTTTTTTATTCATAAATTTAGGAAATGTGTGTCGGAATTTAGGACACCCATGTCTGAGTCGCCTTTTTTTAAGATTATTTAATTCAGACACTTTTGTACCGTGTTCGGTACACATCCCAGCTGTGTCGAAGTCGCGTCCGCGTCTGATAAGTGTCTTACATTGCACGGCTCCTTATAAATGAGTGTCAGGGCAACATAGCAATTGGGGACTATATCCTCCTCTGATCATTCATGCCAAATGCTAAATTAAGTGTTAATTTTATAGTTTACATAATTATGAGTATACCCTTTTCCTCCTATTCCTTTCAGATTAATTCAATCAATATGTATCATCATTATATTTTTAGCCCTATGTTCTACACGACCAAACCACATAATTCTATCTTTACAATCTTATATCCAATAATCGCCACTCCAACCATCTCTATCATTATCAATTTCACTACACAAGAATTGCTTTTTCGTTGTATAATTAAAATAAGAATTTTACTCCTACCATATATTATTTTTATTACATATTCATCCCATTCTTATTTTAATCAAACTCAGTTATTGCCCGAATCTAACAAGCAAATAAAAGAATGAAAAAACACTTGATGCCATGAATATTGCCACTGCATGCTAAGGATGCCATTAAAATATTGCGCTAGGATTGAAAAGAAAGACAGGTCAACTCATCCTTCATTAACAAATATAAAATAGGGGCATTTACATACATACCACCCGATTCCTATGTATTTACATATGTAACACCTAAACTTAGCTTTTTAATTTATAACACCCAAATATTTTATATCACATAAAAAATACCATCATTTTAACTTTTAAAAGGAGAAATACATCTTTTCATGCATAAGTAAAGTGGTGTGCATTTAAAAATTTAAGTTTAACTACTGAATATGTAAACACATAGGAATTGAATGGTAAGTATGTAAATCTTCCCATAAAATATAGCAGATGGTCAATCTAAGGGAATGAGCAAACAACCTGTAGGAGTTTCGAAAGCAGGTAACATTCTCCAAGCCAAGTCCTCAGCTAAATGAAGCAGCTCATTATCATAACTTTGAAGTTTCAAGCCCTAGAGGAAGTACAGCCAATTTCCAAAGTTTATCGATAAATAGGATTCAATAATAGAAGTCCATACAAGAAAAGTTCACAACGAAAATCATCGATTGCAGGTTCGACAAGTTTGTCCATAGTAATCAGTCATTAAATGTTTCACTTATCCCTCCATAATTTAATAGATCTGTAGATTCCCCTAAATTTTTGGGTTTTAAAATATATTCATTATTTGATATTTTGATTGTGAAAATATTCTAAAAGTGTTCTAAGAGCACAAAAAAAATCACCCAAATATTTCAAGCCACTTTTATATTAAATGTCCAATAAATCAAATTGAAATTTCTTGCACTTCTTCAGAGCAGTGAGATGACCATGTGTTTACATACATATCACCCAATTCTTAGTTCTTTACATATCAATCAAACGCCTAAACTTCTATATTTACATACATGGAATCCAAATCTTTTACTTGACATCAAAAATACCACTTGCATTTTAAAAGTGAAAAACACCTTTTTATGCTATGTTTATCACACCGAAGTGTTATAAATGTTAATATGAAAGTTTAAATGTAACATATGTGAATACAAATGAATTGTGTGGGGTGTATGTAAAATTCCCTAAATTATAACAAAACAAAAGACAATGAAACTTTGGAAATCACACAGAATACTGCTAAACAGGCCTCTTTCTAAAATCACAAATTACAATAGGTGTGAACTTTATAGCATATATCTCAACACACTTCAGAACAAATACCGACATCAGATGGCATGACAAACACTCTGTTCTGCTCACCTGCACTATCTATTTAATAACTATATGTTCAATGATTTGGGCTAGTTATTTTTGCTTTGGGAATACGTAGCACACAATCCTTATGTATTTACATATCTCACACCTAAACTTTCATATTTACATAGATTTGAGTGCTATGTGTGGTGTGAGATATGTAAATACATAAGAATTATGTGCTATGTATGTAAATGCCCCTCATGCTTTAATATCAACAGCAACCACATTTCCAAAACAAAATATGTTAATATCAAATATTTTCACAGAAATGAATGGAATCAAACTCATAGAACTTGTTCAGATAATATGAAAAACCCAGAATGGAATACTCAGCACACAATTTTTTAATAGTGCATGATTAATGATGGTGCATCACAGAAAATAGCATACCGTAGAATAATCACTCGCAATAAGATGAGCAGAAAGTAAACCACCGAGAACCCGGATTGTCGTCTCAAATACAGAAACTGTCTTGTTCTGCAAAGTTGAGAAGCAAGATATTAAAAAAGAAAGAGAGATAAACAAGTAAAAAATGAAGTAAACACTTGATTAAATTGTAAAATTTTCACAAATAAAAGTATTGTCAAAAGATATATAGGTCCATTTTCCTTAAATAAGAGGGAGAAATTCCGCCAATATGGATGTTAATAATTTATTAAGCTTTGTACTGCTATATATAGTTCGTACATTCTCACAGGCCCTAGAAGCCGATTGGCCCAATAATGGGGAATGCTAACAAACTACCAACAGAAAAGAACAGGCAAGTGCTGAGAAAGCAAGCTCAATGTCAACATTAATTTAGGGGCCGTTTGGGATCATTTTTGTTTTTTATTTTATTTATTTATATATATATATATATATATATATATATATATTGACTTGAAACAAAACAGATATATATATATATATATAGTGACTTGAAACAAAACATGTTTAGCTCTTTGATTAAAGCATGGTTGTTTTAGTGTTTTCACATACATGTTAATTTATTATTAGAAATAAAAAAATACATTAAAAAAACACACTAAGCAAATATGTTTTTAAAAACAAAACAAAAAAAAATTAAAAATAAAAAAAACAAAATTGATTCCAAACAAACCCTAATTTCCATGAGAAGAGAAACATTTTATTACAGGTTCCTAAGCATTGCATGTTGATGGATTTGACAAAAAGCAATGCAACATTAAAATACAGAAAAAGCAAGATGCACGTGCATCAAACTCATAAAGTGTATATAGATAAATTTGTAATTGAGAAAATACAGGATTAGAAAAGCATGTTAAATATGGAATGGACATAAAAAAAAATCAAATCATTATGTATAATTACCAAAATATCAAATGAATTCATCTGTACTACTAACAATTTGATGTACCTCAAGGCTCACAACATGCATTTAGCCAGTACCCGCATGGAGATGTTGGAAATCCCTAGTTAAAAAAATTGAAAGATAAGTTGCCCGAGATGATCAAATGTCTTGATAACTTAAAATATAGTTTAATTTGAACTTTCAAAGCTTCATTCTCTCAAGTCTCATCAGTAATCTCTCTGAAATGGTCATTTCTCCCAGAAATGACAATAAAAACTAAACCCTCAATTTTCTCTCAACAACTCCAGCCATTGAAGCCTTCTTTCAGCTGGAGTTTCCTTCAGTGACCTCTACATCAGTGTTAAGCTCAATAGATGAAAGTATAGGGACCAACTCTAATGAAGTGATGAGATTCCTCTCATAAACTATATCAAAAAGGTTGTGACCCCTAGACTGACTAGCAGAATGACTATAAGCAAACTCAAACTGATGAAGACTCAAGTTTCATGCTTCATGTTCTTTCGTCTAAAGCACCTGAGCAGATTTTCTAAACTACGATTCATCCATGTATCTGTGGGTGCATTGTGCTAAATTGAACTAGACCTTTGTGCAAAGCTTACTCCAAAGAGTCCCCCAAAAATGATTAAGAAACTTCACATCTCAATCCGGTGTAATAGTCTTAAGTCCACCATGTTGTCAGGTTATCTCTCTAAAGTACAAATCAATCATGTGTGTTGCATCCATCGACTTGTGGCAAGGTGCAAAGTACGATATCTTGGAAAAGACACTAGCTCTATGTAACTAATCTGGTAAATCATTCAAACTTGAAATGGGGAACCAATACTTAATGGTTGCGCAATGTATGGTCAGGACACAATGAAATCCTCTCAGCAGAAGCTACATTATGTTTGGTATCGACTCCATGGATTTACAACCTATCACTATGTTAGTCCTTTTGATGCTCTTGTTAGAGCTTGCAAAAAAGTAATTCATCGCACTACAGTCTCAAATTTTGTATGAATGTCCATTACGTCGGACTTATTCCAAAATATAAATATGATGTATTTTTCATCTTTGATGAAATAATATGTGTTCCAAAGCCATCATGATGTATACAATGGTCTTACTGCTAAGGAAGGCCCAATATAATGTGACAAACATCCATTTGTATCACAACACACCACACCTGTTTCGAAAATTTGCCTCCAATAGAAAACTCAAGGAGGTATATTCTTTCAAATGTGATCTTATTTTCTTTCTTCAACCAAGATTGGGAATAACACCTAATGTGCTTTTGTATGGTAAGACTCAACATGTATTATCATTTGGATAGACACAACATTTTCACAAAGGACTCTATCTATGAAAAGACTGTACACAATATCAATCACAGTGCAACTAGTAAGAAAGATGTTGCGGGGGAGCCACTGTTGCTCTTTTGCAGACTCATCATGAAGGACCCACCCTCTTTGGTTGGAAGTTAGAACTCTTCCTTTGTGTCTTCACTTTCTCTAGTGTCTCTTATGTCATTGTTCATTTCTTTTACTGCTCTCGACACAATGTGTACAAAACTGTGGCACAAAGTATTTTCTATTTGTGAAGGATTTAGAAGTACAGGTGGCAGCAACCTTTTCTTCACCATGAACTAATTTCTTCAAGCAAGGGGCCAACTAGAATGCTCTAATGGGTGTGCTCCTTCCACCTAATCATGATGTCAGGCCATGTCTATAATGTGTAGTTATCCTCAGGTGATTGTTGATTCTTCATCTTTAACATTGGGGTTTGTATATCGAATATGGACCAATAAGACTGCAATTACACAACATTATTTATAAATGGTTTCAATCATCCAAGATACCTCCCCATTATGTGCTCTTCTGGCTTCATCAAGACACATTTCACATGAGTTGATCAAATTCAATCGTGTAATCCTCCACAAAAGAATATCTCTAATTCAGGTTGTGTAGTTTGAAAAACATATACTGTCGATAAAGTGGGAGAAGAAATTTATGTTATACTTTCTTTTTCATCTTGGCCATGTGATAATCTTGTTTTTTTCCTTTTCGTTGTCAAAGATGCTTCGGATTCTTCCGCCATAATGACTTGTGTTTCCTAAGTTTGATGGTTGTCAATTTAAATCCTTTCCTCTGAAAAACATCCTTGTATTAAAAAATTTATTCCATTATTTATAACCACTCAATAAATTCATTTGAAACCAGGCACATGTCAAAATCCAACAAGTCGATCTTCACCTCCAAATCATTGTCCCTCCTCTAGTATTCAATGGCAAACTGTCAGAGCGTTTGATTATTTATCACTAGAAGCTTTCCGGTGTAAAGGATCAACTTCCTCGTTTCGATCCAACGAGTCATCATTATGGCTAACCTCTCTGGGTTGTCTCCTCTCAAAGGCAAAAAATGTTTGTTGCAATTGAATGATCTTCCTTCGCACGCCTTCTTTTGTAAGATATTGAACACCTCTTTGCATGTTTCTTCTCAAAGGCATGGCATCCATTTTCTCCCAATTAAGGTTAGGTTAAGAGTTACGGCCAAGATGGAGAGTGTGGAGATGATTTTTGGTAGATGTATTAGTTTTAGTTATGTGGAATTTAGGTTTAGGAATGAAACAAAGAAATGAATCCTGGGCGATTCAAGATTTTTCGGGTTCTGGTATGAAATGAAACCATTCTAAAGTTCTTAAAAAGTGAAATAGGATCAAATTAAATGGGGAGTCGTGAAATAGCAATACAAATAGAATATGTTAGGTCAGTGGAATTTGGAGAGGGATAAAAAGAAAAAGTTTGACAGCTGTTCAAACTGAAAATATTAGAGAGAACCATAATATGATGGTTCCAACAAAGCAAAGCTGCCAAGAGAGATCAACCACCTATTCTAGAAGAAGCTACAGACACAACTTGCAAAATAAAGACGATACAGCACTATTTAGAGCAGATAATTAGAGAATTTTTAAATGCAAAACCAAAGCGAAAATCCAAAACAAGAAAAATAACAATGTATAAATAGTCCCCTCTCAAATTAACCCTAATTCTATTTCAAATATTACAAAGAAAATGAACCCACATGCCTGGTAGCGGTTTGCAGACAGGAATTTTCCTGCTTCGGTTCGGAATAGGAAAGAGCTTAAACTCAAGGCTTTATGACTAGAAATAAATCTCTCAGCAACTAGACCAAGTGAGATGCACTAGTAATCATTATTCTTGTTCTTGTTTTTATTTCTTACACGTTGATATTGCACAAGTGATGGAATTTTATCAAGGGTTAATGTGCTTGGTGTTCTTTTTGAAAGCTTCCCGCAGACCCCATCCTATCCAACCTAAAATAGTTTAAATTCTGAGCAAATCTGCCTTGTAATATCTAGAATTTGTTATGACCATTTAGTGAAAATAAGGACTTACTTTAATCAATGAAACTAACTGTTACGTACCTCAGAACCCTAAGAGCATGTAGGAAACCTCTTGAAATAACGGAGCTAGATGTTAGTTCATCCAAACTTGAGGAACCTACATGTACATGACCCTTCAAGATATTATATTCTAGGACTTTTAAGTAGAATCACGCACTTAAAATGCACTACGCATGACTGAACAAAAAGGTAACAAAACTGCTAAATAATTTTCTCATGTAGTCTGACTAGATGTTAGATAGTTGGGGCATTTACAGACATAGCACACAGCTATTACGTATTTACATAACTCACATCTAAACTTTTATATTTACAAGCACTCAATCATTAATATCATAGAAAAAAATAGCACTATTATCACTTTAAATATGAAATATACATTTTCATGCATAGATTTAAAACACCAAAGTGCTATTTATGAAATAGGAAAGTTTAGGTATGAGATATGTAAATACATACAAATTGTGTGCTACATACGTAAATTTCCCTAGATAGATTAACACATACAAAACTAAAGAATGAAAATAAACTTCATAAAGGTAGTATCTCAAGACAGCGCAGAAAAACATTTTGACGTCAAACTTTTCGAAAAAATTGAAAACACACGAATTGCAATAGGGAATAAAACATATCATAAAATTGCTGAAAATTATCAGGAAAGTTTAAAACGAAATCACCAAAAAGCAATCCGATTAGCACATGCAATAAAGTCATTGAAAAGAAATGTTTTATGGCTCATGATTGACATATTAAACATCTTAAAAGGTCCATCACGCCCAAAATGGGTCATGCAACTAAAAGTTTGGATGGTTTACTTGATCAGACCTGCTAACTCCAATCAATTTGGTTGTAGTTCATCCAGTCAAACCAACCAAGGAAACATCATAACCAAGATTGAATGAAAAGTTATCATTTTAATTTAAAAGCAAACCAAACAAAATAAATAGAATTGATTCATCTTCCTTCATCTCAAATAGTGAAATTACAAATAAAAACACACATACATGCACAAGTACAGACATACAAACATACATGAGAGCATACAACCAAAAGAAATTGAAAAATTTATAAACATGCCACACCATTCATATTTATTTACATATCTAACACCTAAACTTTCATATTTCCGTACACACTCTAATCTTTAATATCACATCAAAAATACCAAATGTAATTAACTTTTTAAAAGTTAAGTAGACCTTTTATGCATAAGTTAATGACACCAAAGTGTAATAAATGAAAATATCAAACTTTAGGTGTTAGATATGTAAATATAAAGGAATTGTGAGGTATACATGTAAATTTTCTAAAAAAAATTGACAAAATCTATCAAATTCTATACCAAAAGCTAAGCTAAGAAACCCTACATGAAACTTGACCATCTGAAGGTCACAAGTTCAATGAGTTGACGGGTAAATAGACAACAGCCATTAAAACTCCAAGACAAATGCGTGCTTTTACACTGCGAGTACACATATAGACAATAGCCATTGAAACTTCAAGCCAAATTCAAGCTTTTACACTAGACAAAACCCTCTATAAATAGTGGACCATACAATAGCAGTCTTGCAAAAACCAGATCCAGACTATCTTCATGCTTTCCTCGTTTATCACAATAGGGCCATGCTAGAGAGATCTAATAGTAACAAGGCACAATAACTTAGCAAATTCTTATGTATGTAAGTGTAATTAGAAGCATTACAAAATACATGTACGAAATTAAAATTATATTCCTACTAATGAAACCAAATTAAAGAATAGGCTAATACTCACAATATCAAATCGAACATTTTCAGCAATCCATTCGACAGCAGAACCAAACCGCTCACGATCTCCTAGTAAGGCCAACGTGTCCAAGGAATCAATCTGCTCAAAGATTTTAATGGTAACAAAAAACAAAAGAAATGTACTTGTTCAGGACAAAAAATAAAATTATGAATAATGGCATCCTTACAAGAGTTAAAGCGTAACCACCAAGTGTATCCTCCCCTTGACAGGTTAAGGGCCTCAACTCATCACGTGGAAAAGCATGTTGCATGTATCCATCAAAGGCATGATAAAACATGTCTCGTACCTTGAAAACAGCAAGAGAATTATGTTTACATTATCTTAAAAATTTTAAATTTGAAGATTTATCACTTAATAGCAGGATCTAAAACTAGTTTAGTATTTAGCGTAAGTGTCCAAAATTTATTCTAGTCCTAGAAGAGGGCCATTTTGCAGAGTATTTCGCTAATGTTTAGTTGTTTCACATAAACTCATTTCTTGCAAACAAAATTCTATATTTATTTAAAATGCAACGTGTTTCATTTTTATCCATCCTCCTCGAGACTTTCTGCAATTTTTTTAAACATCATTACCATATGCCAAAAAGAAATTTTAAATGTGACTTCTAAAGCTTGAATTCACTTTTCAAATATGTGAAATATTGCTTCAAAAATAAGAACCCTTCAATCAATTTACTGCCAAACAAACATTCAAACCCAACAACTAAACTCATATACAACCAATTCCAACGAATAATTTTAAGAAAACCTAGGCCCTAATGTTTAAGTTCAAATCATTCCAATGAATAAAATTCCAAAGGTTGGATAGAAGGGAAAATCTAATTCTCAATGGCTTGGAACAAAAACATTCGTATAGCTCACAAATATTAGTATATTATTTACTCGGACTATCAGATTTTAGAATTACGGTAGTGAGAATGGTCCTTTAAAAAATGATTTTGTTGGACCTTCTAACAGTAAATGCATCAAGTGCCCAATTAAAGCTTTTACTGAGTAATAGCGTGACTGGAGTTGTAATGAGGGAAGAGCAGTGAAATTGACTTAATTAGAAAAATAAAACCTTCAAATTTTATTTTACCCAAAAAGGACTATAATCTCAAGTTGAACAAAGCAAAACTACTTGTTTTGCATGTAACTGAAGATTTGAAGCACAATTTACTAATAGACGCGCCCCCTTCAACATCAAGCTCTGTGATTTTTAGCACCAATTGACATGAAGATAAAAGCTTAAATATAAGATAATATAGCTTCAACCATCATCATCAAAATCATCATATTACATCATCATCACCATTAAACTATAAATTGTCTCCTATGATGAAAGTGATTGCTTCAACCATCATCTTAGAGGCCCACATTTTAAAGCCCCCTATAAATTGGCCCTAATCATTCATATAGATCTACAAGCAACCTCAGTGTGCACGCCATCTACTTCTTCGAAAAAAACAAAACAGACAAGATTGCTAAATACCATTTTCATATTTAACAAAAAAATAATAATAATAATTTTATGACAAGGTTATCATATGCCACATGTCTCACCTTAGGGGACGACCAGCACTGAACCCAGAAAACATCAACCACAAAATGCAATGCAGCGCAAAAAAAAACCAACATTGAACATGTTTCTAATTAACCCATCATACCTACTCATCGAGTATCATTAATCATCACCCACAACTACTTGGCTTATCCCTACTAAGGATGCAAAAATGGCCACACATTTAGGGGAACCAATACCATATTTCGACAATATCGTAGCAACCATCTTCCACATTATTTATGATGCTACAACCCCTATACTATAAGCACATTACCATCAGAAATTTAAAGACATTATTCACAATGCCACCATATCATCCCCCACTCAATCTCTAAGCTATCTATAAATATCTCTATTGTTTCTATAGGAGGCTTTATTTTTTTAACTTTGTAACAATGAGAAAACGGAAATTGGGCAGCTATAAGCTTATATGGCTAAACCATTGACATTGTTGTATGATCATGATGCAGGGATGAGGGGACCAGCCAATTGAATCGGCTGGCAGATGGACCGACAGAACCAGTCCAGAGATTGTTGGTCCATGTTCCTAGGGAAACGAGCGGCAATTAGGAGGGGGTAGCAATGCTACCAGCCTTCCCCTACCTTTTCATTTTTGTTTTTTCCTGTTTGGAGTCTATATATGTGATGTTTGTTTAGAATTAGGGTTATGTTACATTGTGTTATAGTTTTCATATTCTCCTTGAAGTCTCCTTCTCCCTCGCTTGGGTTGTATCCGACGAAGGGTGGGGCTTTAACTGTAACCTGCTTTGAGGTGGTGTTGTTTCCTCTCCTATCTTCTTCCCTACCCCTTCTCCTCCCCCTTCCTTAGTTGTCGGCCACCCCAGGTACTTTCTGTGGGTCGGTCAACCCTTGTTGCTGCTACAGAATACAGTTTGCTTTCATTTCTACTGAGTTCTAAACTAGTTCCCGCATCAGATCCTCATTCATCCTCTCATTTAACTTCTTATTAATCATTTTTAATAGGAAAATTTGCATTTGTAGCACAAAATTCTTATATATTTACCTTAGTTGCACCTAAACTTCTATATTTACATACATAGTGCTTTGATGCTTTAAACCTATGCATGAAAAGGTGTATTTCACTTTTAAAAAGTGGCGATAGTGCTATTTTTTATATGATATTAAATATTTGAGAGCTATGTCCGTAAATATGAAAGTTTAGGTGTGAGATATGCAAACAAATAAGAATTGTGTGCTTAGTAGGACTGTAAGCCTTCCATCAACAAAATAAATCGATCTAAAATCTCCCGTTTCCAACTTTCTATTTCCCTGTATGACCCATCAGAACAACTGCAGGACCAATCAAACCATTTGTCCCCTTTTTCCAACTTTTCAACGTTCGCATTTACTAATCAGGATTGCACCCTGTGTAATATTTTGAACATGAATTCAAAAAATCGCCTACATTCCCCCTTCTCAGCCTTCTATATGAACCAAAAGAGACAACCACCCCTTCTCACCCAATGCCCTAATCAAAATTCATCTTGACGAACCGGCCCATCCTCGTACAGAGCACCAAAATAACCACAAACAATTATCGCTTATTGCAAATCCTCGTCGCCAACAATAATCCCTAAATATACCTATTCTAAACAACCAACTTCCACTATTCCTCTGCTCTACAAGCATCATAGCACAAAGTGCGCTGCAGCTCACCAGCGTGATTGCTTAAACCTTCCAAATCTAGCATAACCTAACAACTGGTAAGACCAGCAACCTCACAATGCATGAATCGCCGTTTAATCTCAGAAAATGATAGAAAATTAACAAGTTATGATCCGATGGCGCACCTCTTCTCGCAATTCTCTAGCCTCCGAGACCGTTACAACGTCAGCTAGAACCAGAAGTGGCTGGGGGAGGGGAAAAAAAAATACAAAAAGGACCACCACCGCCATTGTTGCAACCAGTACTTCTCTATTCCTCTGGATCAAATTCACAGTATAAATTGCCCTCGATCTCCGATCTCTCCCCCGTTCTCTCGCCGGCCTCCAGTTTTCGGATTGAATTCTTCCCCATTCAGGTTATGGACGACCCAAACTCGATTTAGCTGCACCTGATAAGTACTGCTCATAACTCTCTTCCTGCTCATCTATATTCAGCTGAACCATGGCTAGGGCGGCTAGGGCTGGTCAGTAATGGCTATGTTTAGCATACACAAACTACTTAAATGAGTTAAACATGAGCCATTAGTGACCAGCACTAGTAATGGTTCATCTGAATATAGATGAGCAGGTAGAGAGAGTTATGAGCAGTACTTATCAGGTGGAGCTATCCTTCATAAAACACAAATATTTTTTACGCTTGAAATATAATTGAGTCAAATACGAGCAATCATTTATACTAACATGTTCAACTTTTAGTTTGAAATATAAAAATTATATACATTTATATCTAAATTTGAATCAATATAATTCATTTTGTCACATAGGTTTGAATCTAAAGCCCAAAATATATTTTTTTTAATTAATTTAAATTAGTCACTTTTGAATAAAATATGAGTCAAAGCTGAGACAATTTTGGATATAATTAAATTCAAATAAAGACCTACCAAGTCTGAGCTCGCCCAATCCCGGGCTCTTTTACACAACCCTAACGTTGCCAGGGATTGCAGTTCCCTAAATGCACACTAATAAAAATAAAAAATAAAGAAAAAAATTATACAATGAATTTAATTAAAAAACATTTAGATCTGAATAAAGTCTCAAAGCTAATAAATTTATTTTAAAACAAATACAACATCTGAAAACTAATCCAATGAATTTGTTATTCATCGTGAGCTAAATTTCATCAAAATATCTCATGCAAGTTCTCTTTTAATTTTAAACAATTAAGCAAAATTACAAGGCATTTACATACAGACCATCAAATTCCTATGTATTTGCATGTCTAGCAGATATACTTCACTCTTTACAAACATACCACCCAAAACTCTCACATCACATCACAAATACAAGAATTTTAACTTTCAAAAAATAAAATATAACATTTCATGCACAGATAAGAATTTTGTGGTATATTTGTAAATCTTACTAAAATTATTTGTGCTGGGTCATTCGCATAAATATCATACAATCCTTATGTATTTTGGCATATCTAACACCAAAATTTTAATTTTAACATTTATCACACTCAAATCTTTCAACTCGCAAAAAAATATCACTATTACCAACTTTAAATGCTATAAATGTTAAAAACAAAAGGTTTAGGGGTCAGATATGTAAATACATAAGAATTGTGCGGTATGCATGTAAATATTGCAATTCTTCACAAGCATACAAAATAAACTTGAAAATAATTTACTCAATTCATTTGCAACTTATATGAAGAAAATGGGTGATAATCTGTTATTGCTGGGACAAGGCTTTGCCTCCTTTCCATCTCTGAACTGCCTGCTCCAGAACATTGGCTCTGGCTCTGATATGCTCAGCTTCTTCTTCCACCCATGACCTGAATAATAAATAAATAAATATGATTAACTATGTGAAAATAAAATGATAAAATAGATATTTAAGGAAGATTTACATACATACCACTTTATCCTAGAATTTACATATCTAACATCTAAACTTCAATTTTACATGCATGCCATCTTAACCTATGGATGAAAGGATATATTCCACTGTTTAAAAGTTCAAATGATGATCATTTTGACGTGATATGAAAGATTTGGGGGGTACTAATGTAAAAAAGTAAAATTTAGCCGTTAGATATGCAAATATATAAGGATTGGGAGGTATGTAAGTATGTAAAAGCTCCAAGAGTTAAATGATCTGAACATGCATACCAGAGAATAGAAGATGAGTAAGAAATTGCTTGATTTTAGATTAAGCTTCGGTTTTATTTTTTATTTTGTTTTACAAATATTTTCCAGGGCATTTACATATACACCACGTCATTATCATATATTTATACATCTAAACCATAACCTTCATATTTACATGCATAACACTCAAATATTTAATATTACATCCAAAATATAATCATTACTAACTTTTTAAAAATCAAATACATATTCTCATGCATAGGGTTATGTCACTTTACTAATGCATGAAAAGGTTAATAGTTAAAACAATGGCACTTTTGATATGATATGAAAATTTTGGCTGATATAAATGTAAAAAAGTGAAATTTAGGAGTTAGATATGTAAATATAAAGGAAAAGGGTGGTACCTCATTATTTGAACAGCGTCTTTCTCAGCTTCCAACACTGATCTGGCCTCAAAAACTTCCCCTTTTTCTACATCTAAATCTCTCAGCTGAGTCTCCAAATCCTGCTTCTCCCCCGTAAAAACCCCTCTTTCATTTCGAAGCTTCTCCTTCAGTTCATCAACTTCCTTCCTAAGATTGAACAGGAGCTGTTGCTGACATTCTAAAGCCATTTTCTCTTTCAAGTAATCGCCGAGTCTGTCTTCTTCAGCTGCTCTCTCAATCTCTAACTCAGTCAATGCAATTTCAAGATTTTTTTCAGACTGAAGTGCAAATATTTTCGCCTCGCTTAGTTTCTCCTCCCAGTGCTTTTGTATGACCCCTCTGTGAGTCAACTCGAGCTTGATTTCTTCCATTTCAGCTGATCTCAATAGCTCTTCCGCCTCGAGGCGTGCTAGTTCGGTTTGAACTGCTTTGGCCATTCTACCGCTAGTTAGTGCGACAGCGGCTTGCGCCTTTGTGACGGGTTTGTTGGGTTGAAGGCATCGAATATTACCTGTAAAAAAATTTGCGAAAAAAATGAGCATCGAAACTTTGGTCCGAGATAAGAGCAAAACTCTTTAGTCTTAATGTAATAAAGGAGTTAAGTGTAAATATAGTCCCTTTGACAGTTTATATGGGTCATTTTAGGGACATGGTCTATAAAGGTGCCAAATAAGTCCCCATACTATTTAAATTGGGGCTAAAACAGTCCTTTTTAGGGACTATTTCAGCTCGTATTAATAAATTCTATGGACTAAATAAACACTTTTAGAGACTCTGGGACCGAAATTACCCCAAGAAAAGGGTCAAAAGACTATTTTAGCACTTCACTGTAGGGTTGCCAAATATTCTCGTCACTAGGGAACAGGTCGTGTTCGGCTCGTTCGTTAAGCCTAATCGAAGGTGAAGTACTTAGGACATGTGATGTTGGTTGTAGGAGTTTCAGTGGATCAATTTAAGGTGGTGGCTATGCTTGATTGGCCACTACCTAAGACCTAGAAGAAGTTGAGAGAATTTTTGGGCCACACAGTATACTAGCAAAAATTCATGAAGTGTTACAGTTCGTCTGCGTGGTCTTTGAATGAGCAATTGAAATAGGTAAGCTCTTAGTGGGGCGAAGTGGTGACCCAGGCTTTTGAGAGGTTAAAAAAGGCTATAACTAGTGTACTAGTATTAGTGTTACCTGACTTCAGCCAACCATTCATTATAGAGACGAATGTTTCAGATTATGGGTTAGGCGTAGTCCTCATGCATTGTAAGCAACCCATAGCTTACTTCAGTGAAGTACTAACTACGAGAACCAGTCAAGCCAATTTATGAGCGGGAGCTAATGGAGATTTTGCTTGTGATTCGAAAATGGTGACCTTCTTTATTAAGGGGGCATTTTATAGTACACACAGATCAATGCAGCCTTAAATTTTTGTTAGAGTAGCATATGGTGACTGAGGAACATCTAAGGCGCCTATCAAAGCTACTGGGGTATGACTTTAAGATTTAGTATTGCCCGGGATTAGAGAATATGGTCATTGATGCCTATTCAAAACGGATGAAGGAGCCTCAAATGTTGGAATTGTAGGCCCTTTAATACAGAAAATATTACAGGTGTTTCGCAGTATAGCTATCGGGGGGAGTTCGAGCATGATCAAAATATACAAAATGGTAGTGGTAGAAGTGTACTTGGTGAGAATGCAAAAAGATGTGGAGGAAATTGTGATACTGGAGTTAACCAAAATAATAAAAAAAAAAATTAGATATTATTGTTGAATTCAAATAAAGAATCATAATCACACAAATAAAAATAGAAAATAGCAACATACAAGACACATAAACTTAATTACAGGTCGATCCCGGGGTAGTGGAGGTTGGCTAAGCGAACAGGAAGTGGTGTTAGGTGGTTGGAATGGGTATGATGGGGTGTTGAAGGGTGGTGATTTCAGTAGGTAAGGTTTTTAGGAGGTGGATGGAGAGGGTAGTACTTATGGGCGGCTGGAACAACGAGGCAGCAAAAATATAAGATGGTAGAGACAGCTGAGAAGGTTGGAACAAGCAAGAACAGCATGGCATTGATGTTTGAGTGGCATCAGCAGGCCGGGAAAGGGACTGGAACTGATAAAAAGACAACGACAAACAGTAACAGTTGGTTGTTTCAGGTGGCAGCAAGGCGACGCACAAGCTTTGGAAGGCGACAACATAGAAAACATGTGTTTGGGAGGAAGTAGCAAGGTGGAGCGTAAGTCTGTAGGCACCAACAAGTGGAAGTTGGTCTGGAGTGGAACGGCAGTGTGGAAGGGCTAGTTTAGGAAAGTGGCAGCAAAGTGGGACTGTAGAAATACAGTCGAGATATGCCATTTGGGCAACTGCAGCAGGGAAGGGAGACGTGGAACGCACGAAGCAATGTGGGAGGATGGAGAAAAGGATAATCAGCACCTCCCGAGCAAAATACATTTGGAGCACCATTCGACCTTCGGATACAGTCCTATAAGAAAAACTGTAGACGTCAATGACTGTCCCAAACAAAACACAAGAAATAACAAGCCATAAACTATCAAAAAAAAAAAAAAATAGATATATAATAATAGGATAATTAAGAGAGGCCCAAGAAGATCGGACAACTCCACATCAACGAGAAAACCTGCATCGGTTCTATCAATACATGAAAGCGGGACTCCCATTTTTCGACGCGTGCAAGCCAGCGTGCTATTCCCTGAAGCATTCTCCTAGGATTGAGGGAGCTTCGACCTCATCCGTTGAAACTTATGTCGCCTTATAGTATGGAGTTAGGTCGATCGCATTGAAGGTGGTGGGAATGATGTGATCTCCCGAAGTTGGAGGGTCTTCAACTACGTCTCTAAAAGCATTTGAATCACACTGTAGGATCTCATATCCCTCAAAACACCAAAGATGGTTTTCAAAAATGCTGGTAACCGAGTCAACAGGCAAGACAGTGGGGCAGCAACAATAGAAGATGGACGGCAGGAGCAGTGGAGCAGGAACAATAGAAGATGGTAGGGATGGCTAGGAAGGTTGAAACAGGCAAGACAGAACGGCTTTGCTATCCAAGTGGAAGCGACAAGCCATAAAAGGGGTTGGGGTCGACGGGAAGGCAGCAGCAAACAGAAGCAGTTGGATGTTTGGGGTTGCAGTGCGGTGGAGCACAAGATTTGGTAGGCGGCAGCAAAGGAAACATGGGGCAGGGAAGTAGCGGCGTCGTGGCATGCAAGTCTGGAAGGTAGCAAGAGGTAGAAGACAGGTTCTAGAAAGTGGCAACAAAGTGAGACTACAGAAAAACAGTCGAAAGATGGCTATTTAGGGTAGCTACAATAGGGAAGCACGGCGATGAACGACGTGAAGCAATGTGAAAGAATGGAGTGAAGCATAATCACCTCGAGAGCGAGATTGAGCTAGAGCACTACTTGAACCTTACATACAACCCTAAAAGAGAAACTGGAGATGCTGGTAGTTGTCTTGAACAAAACATACTAAAGAACTAGCCCTAAAACATCATAAAAGAAATATAAATAATAATATGAAAACTAGTAGTGGCACAAGAGGGCCAACCGTGTCCACGACAATGAAAAAAATTGGATTGATTTGGTTTAGGCACGAATGCGGGACTCCCGCTTTTCGTCGCAGAAAAGCTCGTGCAGTACGCCCTGCGTCACATGGCTTCAATATGTGAAGTGTCAACGACACAAGTACATGACATTAGCGCTTAGAGGTTTTTATAATATCTAGCACTACTGAAGATGGTGTGGAAGGAGGTGACAATGGATTTCATTGAAGGCATACCTCAAAAGTATTTACAGTCACCTTGGTGGTTGTGGACCGGTTGAGCAAGTACGCTCATTTTGTCCCTCTACGTCATCCCTATACTGATGTTTTGGTCATCATTGTTTTTATGCTAGAGGTTGTTCGTTTGCATGGAATGCCAGAATCGATAGTATTGGACCAAGACAATGTCTTATTGAGTTATTTCTGAATGAACAACATCACATGCTTTCAATGTGCAACGACACAAATATATGACGGTAGCGTCTGGGAGTTATTATAATCTTGGACATTACAGAAGAGGGTATTTGAGGAGGTGATGATGGATTTCATTGAAGACTTACCTCGGTCAGAAGGATTTACAACTGTATTGGTGGTTGTGGACTGGTTGAGCAAGTACACTCACTTTGTCCCTCTACCTCGTCCATATACAGATTGTTTTTTGTAGCTGCTAGTTTTATACGAAAGGTTGTTTGTTTGCATGGAATGCAAGAATCGGTAGTATTGGATTGAGACAATGTCTTCTTGAGTCATTTATGGAGAAAGCTATTTGAAATACGAGAGACTATAATGAAGAGAAGTAAAGCATAACACCCACAATTGATGGACAATCGAAGTTGTTAATCGAAGTGCGGAGACCTATTTGTATTGATTTGTATCTGACGCACCCAAGCAATGGGTTAAATGGCTACCCGGGGCAGGGTAGTTGTACAATACGTTGTATCATACAGCTTCTCAGACCACTGCTTTTAAAATTTGGTATGGTCATGATCCACCCCATTTGGCGTATTATGGACACAGAACTAAGTCAGTGTCTCTGTTGAATCAGTATTAGGGGTGTAAACAACCCGAGTCGAGCTCAAGTCACTCTCAGCTTGAGCTTAGCTTGAATAATTAATCGAGTTCAAGCCCAAGTTTAAGCCAACGAGTTCAAACTTGTTCACAAGCCAACTTGTTTATTATTAAAGAAAGAAAAAGAATATTAATTTAAGCTAGTATTCTAATAAAATAACAAATAGAATGAATAACCTGGAGATAAATAATAAGAAATCACTTGATATGATATAAAAAATATTTTTTTAAAATATTTTTAATATTTTAAAAATGAAATATGAAACTTTATAAATTTTAAGTATTTTTTATATTACTATTTTTTTTAAACAAGTCGGCTCAAGAGCTAACGGGTCAAGTAAGGGCTAGCTTGAGCTTGTCTTGTTAGCTTATTAAGCTCTGCTCACAAGCCATTTATCAAGTTGAGCTCAAGCCAGATCACAAAGCTAGCTTGGCTCTCCTATTGATACTTAAAAGAAAGGGACAAAGTGTTGGTGGAAAGGGACATTTATTGAGCTCAAAAATTTATAAAGAAACAAGCTAACAGACATCGAAGAGATGTGTGATTTGTGATGGGATATAAGGTGAATCTATAACTTCGGCCGTATTGACAGAAGGAAATGACAAGACGCGGGAATAAGAAACTCTCCCCACGCTATTTCGGCCCTTATGAGATTATTGAGCACATTGGTGCGGTGGTTTATCGCTTTAAATTGCCGCCTTCATCGACACTTCATCCAATGTTTCACGTATCACAAATGAGGTGTGCTATTGGTGATAAGGGATCCCCTTCTTCACTTTCCCCTACTTTGATTGAGAATATGGAAATTCTTTTGGAACCATTAGAGTTAACAGGGGCACATCAGAAATTGACAAGTAGAAAAAAAAAGTGTTAATTAAATGAAAAGGGTTATCAGATTATGACGCAATGTGGGAGTCATACGACTTGATCCAGTAACAGGTTTTTCTCTTTCACCTTGAGGACAATGTATCTTATAGGAAGGGAGTAATGTTAGAAAAATGTCTTCCGCCTAATGCTTCAATAAGTCGAGTGATCCCACATAACCCACACCGAGCCAACCAAACAATATAAAGACATATTTTAGGTGCAAGTCTAAAAGAGCAATTTAGTCATTTGTTAATTATTATTGTCTATAATAAATAGGGCTTAATATGATTAGGATTGGAGAATGTTGATTGTTGTCTTGAATTTTAGGAGTTCTACTTTAGGAATTAGGGTGCGATTGTGTCGTGAATTTTAGGAATTAGGGTTTGGGAGAGAGTTGCCTAACTCTCGAATTGTAGATCTATCTTTTATGTATTTGGGATTGTGTTGTTTCATGTCGATGAAGTAAAATATTTTATTTGCCCTAATTCCTATGAAAACTTGTCTCATTCCTATCAATCATCTATTCAAGCAGATAAATTTACGATAATCATTGTTTTCTATACTCTTTCTTGACATCTTCCAAAGTATCAAAATTCACACTACTATAAAGTTGATAAACTCGTGCTATTATTAACTTCGTCAGATTGAACATAGGTTAGCTAATTCAAGTGATGATGCACAATAGACAGAAGCTAAAAAAGGACAATTAAAATTGGCTGCATAACACTTGGTTTTCAAAATCAAAATATAACATAATTTATTAATGGGATGATTACAGACAGCACAAAATGCTTATTTATTTTTGCATCTCACACCTAAAATTTTATACTAACATACATAGCACTTTGGTGCTTTAAAACTGCACAAAAAAGATGTATTTAACTTTTAAGAAGTGGTAATGGTGCATTTTTTTATATGATATTAAAGATTTGAGTGTTATATATATAAATATGAAATATAAGGTGTCAGATATGTAAAAACAAAAGAGTGTGCAATGTATGTAAATGCCCCTTATAATTTATTAGTAGAAAATTTACATAGCACAAAATTTGTATGTATTTACATTTCCTACATCTAAACTTTCATATTTACAAGCATAGCACTTTTCTTCTTTCAGCCTACGCATGAAAACATAGATTTCACTTTTAAAATTTAGCAACACTGCAAATTTTAATGTGAAATTAAGAATTGGGTGCTATGTGTGTAAATATGAAAGTTTAGGTTTCAGCTATGTGAATACATCAGAATTGTATGCTATGTATGTAAATGCCCCCCTATATTAATACAAAAAATTCAGTGTGCTGGACTTCGCCCAGCATGTTTTGCTGCACTTACAATAGCTTGAAGTTGTTGGCATAGTGCTGATCAAATAAAATGATATTCATGATAAAAAGGAAGCCACAATATGACGGCACTAACAAGAAAAAACTAGAAAGATTTACATACATACCATTCATTTCCCATGCATTTACATAACTAACACCTAAACTTCGACGTTTACAGACATGCCACCTTACAAGTGCATGAAAATGTGTCTTTCGCTTTTTAAAAATTGAAATGATGGCATTTTTTATATGAAATGAACGGTTTGGGTAGTATTGATGTAAAAAGTAAATTTAGGTGTTAGATATGTAAATACAAGAAAATTGGGCGGTACATATGTAAATGCTCCAAAAAAATTAATACCAAAGGTTCTTGCAACTATGCCCCTATTGCCAGATATCAAGTCCGCCAACAGCTGTGGTGCTGCATTCAGATTACGAGCACACAAATCCAACAGGCGAGGCTTCGTCCGTGATATCTGGACTGCAAAAAGTCAAGCTTTAGAAACACTATAAGAAATCAAATTCTCATCACATGAACAGGAACCAAAAAATAGAAGGGGCATTTAAATACACACCACTCAATTCTTATGCATTTACATATCAAACAACTAAAATTTTCTTTTACATTTATGCCACCCAAATCTTTCATATTACATAAAAAATACCACTATTTTAAAATGTGAATACACCTTTTCACGCAAAAGTTATGGTGGCATATAAGTAAAAATTGACGTTTAGGAGTTAGCTATGTAAATACATAGAAATTGAGTGATATGTATGATTTCTATGTATGAAAATCCTTCAAAAAAAAAATCAAGGTTGGCATTGACTTTAGTTGAGATTCCTCAGCTTTCATATTCATTTGAATATATTATAGGGAAGACTAGAAGTCCCACGGACAAAAAAGAAAGAGAAATTTACATATGTAGCACACAATTCTTATTTATTTGTGTCTGACGCCTAAACCTTCATATTTACATACATAACACTTTGGTGCTTTAAACCTATACATGAGAAGGTGTATTTCACATTTAAAAAGTGGTAATAATGCTGTTTTTATGTGATATTAAAAATTTGAGCGCTGGGTATAAATATGAAAGTTTAGGCTTGAGATATGTAAATACATAAGAATTGTGTGTGACGTATGTAAATGCCCCCGAAAAGAAATAATGAATGTCTGAGTTAGTCAAGAATTTTTGTACCTCCTCCAATTCCAAAAAGTTTGAATATTCAAGCATAGCAGTCCAATTTACCAGATCGAAGCGTGATATAAAGCTGCAAAAAAAATAATCAAAAAAAGAAATTTTGTACCCAAAATTTCTCCTTAAACCTATAAATATCAAGTTCCACAGTAAGTACTTGTTGGGGAAAAAGTAAAATCCCTCTTCCTCGTTCAACTTTTCAATATCAGACAAACTGGAGGAATTTGGTGAAGACAACCTGCTAGAAACAATGCCAGCTTCTCCAAGAGCTTTTGCCAGAAACTTTATTAGAAAAACATGAAAAATCCCACATTGAATCAAATATAGAAGCATTTAACTCACCTTGAATACACTCAAAATCAGGGTCATGGAGGTTCACATCATCAAATGCTGGAGAAACTGAACCAGCAAGCAAACTTGTCGGAACTAACCTATTTTTGGCTTTCCTGAAATGAAAGCATACACCATATAAATCTACTGGGCAAAAAAAAATGGAAAATTTACATACGATTCACTCAATTCTTATGTATTCACATATATAATGCAAAAACTTCAACAACTTTTACATTCATACCATTTTATCCATAAATGAAAAGGTTTATATCACTTTTCAAAAGTTAAATGGTGGTATTTTTGATGTGATATGAAAGATTTGGTTACTATAAATATAAAAACAAAACTAGGTCTTAGATATGTAGTTACACGAGAATTGGGTGGTATGTATGTAAATGATCCTAAAATATTTTGGCAAGAACTATAATGCTGGTTAGCCTGGATAATAAAATACCAAATCTTCGTATGCTGATGCCAAAGACTAAACAATAGTAGTAATGGAAATTTTTCATGCATGGCCTTCCTGTAACCCCATGCAACACTTTACTATCTTAGTTCTTAAAAACACAAAATTGCCCGGAATTTTGAAAGAATTTACGCTGATGACCGAAGAAATTTGTCACCAATAAAATGTTTCAGATGTCTGATTTACTCGAGGGAAACTTACATGGCTAGCACACAATTCTTATGTATTTACATATTTCACCCCTAAACTTTCATATTTACATACAAAGCACTTCGGTGCTTTAAACATAAGCATCAAAAGATGTACTTCACTTTTTAAAAGTTATAACAGTGCTATTTTTAATGTGATATTAAATATTTGAGTGTAATGTGTGTAAAAATAAAAATTTAGATGCGAGATTTGTAAATAAATAAGAATTGTGTACTGTGTATGTAAGTGCACCTTTACTTGAAAGTACCTCTCAAGCATGACGTTTGCTTTAACTAGCCACCTTGCGTATTCCCTTTTAGTGCATAAATCGTCAGCATTGGCATCATAGTCAATGATCTGAGTATCATAATTAAAATTCAACCAAAATCAATAATCAGAGTCGCATTAGATATCACAAATTATCCAATAAAAAATGGGAAGATTTACATACATACCACTCAATACCTACGTAATTACATATCTAACACCAAAACTTCAATTTTTATGGATATGCCACCTTACCTCTGCATGAAAAAGCATAATTTACTGTATTTTAAAGCCAAAATAGTGGCACTTTTATGTGATGTGAAAGATTTGGAAGGTATAAATGTAAAAAGTATGATTTATGTGTTAGATATGTAAATACAAAGAATTAGGTGCGTATTATGTAAATGTCCCAAAATAAAGTGTGAAGTGCCACCGCAAATCATCAGGGGAGTGCATTTTATGGTTTAAATAGCTTTAACAATAGAACCGACCAAAATAAATCAATTATAATTATTTAAAATGGTGTGCATATTTCTGTTAGCGGTTTCAAATAAATTGAATTTATTATTTTATTTGATTAAAATTTCCATTGAAAAAATAAATCACAAGAAAATCTTGTGCGCGTTTAGGATTAATTGCTTTCATGGTGAACAAACCAAAATAAATCAATTATGATTATTTAAAATGGATCATAAGGATTTTCAAATAAATTGATTTTATTATTTGATTTGATTAAAATTTTCATTGATAAAATAAATCAACAAAAAAATCTTGCGCATCTGTACACAAGCTGGTGTGCGCCAATATAGGCATACGCATGCATGCGTGTGAGCCTGACTGCATAAAACAAATTATTATCGATATTAGCTAATAAAAAAAAGTAAGTAGAAATCGTGAAATTTTGGAAGTTAAGATTAGTGGCCAAAATTCAGAAACATATGCCTCTAGATTGTTATGGATAAGAGAATACCATAAATATTTAAATATAAATTTTATAAACAATTACAATTAGACCATAAATTGAATGGATAAAAGCCTTGAACAAAAAAGCTCACTTAAAAGAAAGTTAAACGTGGAAAATTAAGTAAAACTGTGAGAAAATATTATACTAGAAAAAATCTGATAATAGGGGTGTGCGTTAATTGGTTTGAAACCCCAAAAAAAAAAAATTCAACCAAACTGAATATAATTGGCTGATATTGGATAGCTCAGTTTAACACATACATATAGATATGTAGCATAGTGAAGCTATGGCAGGTAAAAAAAGTATAAAATTTATGAGAAAGAAAAGAAGTATGCCAAATTTAATGAGAAGTTGTAATATCATTGGCGCAAAAAAAAAAAATTAACAATATATACAACAAAAAGGAATTTATAAAGCCAACTCAAAAAAACTGTAAAAGGTTAATGAAGATGACAACAAGGTGATGTGAGTGCCTCCCCATTTTTTTTTTCCAGCAAAAAGTTCTTAAGAAGAAGTGTCATTTAAAAAAGATGGAAAAAGGAACAAGCCCAAAAAAAAAAAAACAAAATGAGTAGTCATACTTAAGGATAATAAGCTTTAAAAAGAAAAACCTAAAAAAACTTTAAATGGCTCGAGCAAATTTAAACGAGCATTAGTCATGCATGTTGAGTACACCCCCACAATGTATATATGTGATGACCCGGCCCGGTGCTTAGAATTAACTAAGGCGGGAACTGCGGTCGGACGATATTAACATTAACTATCCACATTTTGAATACTTACAATACATAAAAGAGCCACTAATTCACAAAGTGCAATAAAAACAAACATCCAGAAACAATAACATCCAAATATAATATCTCAAGCCATTATCAAACAATATATCAATGTTTAATAGAAACAGTAAAGAGAAACTATTATTATAACAAATATAACCAGCAGCAGTGATCCTCCTCTAGTAAACGAAGTCTCTCATATCAGACATAACAACCTAAAACTTTCCTTCTCCAGAAAGAAAACATTTAACTTCATGTGTAAGTAAAACTTAATGACTAATTATAGTCTAATATGAATTAAATTCTTATGTTAAAATATGCATTAAAGACCAAAAGAAAATGCAATTCATTTCATTAAAGCTTTAAAACTTTTTGACTCAGGGTGGAGCAACAGCTTGGGTTACTGACCCCACTCTAACATAATGCGGGAAAGAAAATAATAATGTATTATTTAGTAAAGGAGCACTATACTTATGTTATGAGAAAAAATACAATGTCCCAAATGACGCACGAATGAATATGGATCCAATTAAAATGAAAAGAAAGCATACCTTAACAAAAACTAATGCTAGCACCCATTGTCGTTATATAATCAACTTTCCTCTCCACCACTCCCCAAAACAATTCATCTAGCTCCTTCGTTGGTTTCACAACACTGCCATAGTAGAATCAACGTCAACTATTTCTAAACTAACATAAAATACATTTGTATCATTGCCTTCACTACAGTTATCAATTATATACCGCCATCATCAAATCCATAGCCTTATTAGCACGATACTATGGGCAGCACGATCTATAGATTAATCCTTCATTTGTGTTTGTTTCTCTTTCCTTCTACCACATTCTAGCAAAGATTCAAGCTCAAGTGAGCACATTTGACGGGAAGCTTACCAAATCGTGGTACTGCAGTTGCTACAATGTAGCGATATAGCCTTTACCTCCCCCTCTCCTTTCCTATTTCAAACCAATTCCAATTCCTTCTTGTCTTTTCTACATCCTTTTCTATTTCTATTTCTTTCCAATTCTAATTCCTACCTATTCATTGCCTACATTTTCTACCACCTTCCATTTTTTTCCCAATTTCAAAATCCTTCCTATTTCTTTGTGTTAGGATCCTTTATACTATATTGTGTTTGTCTATGGTGAGGAGGCTTTTGATAATTATTAATTTCAATTGTTGCCTTTGAGGCGTTCTTCCCCTCTTTGGGCTTTACCCAATGACGAGAACGTGCTCCGGCTGTAACTCGTCTAAGGTGGTGACTATCTCCAAAGGTCCGGGTAGTACTTTGGCTATAGCTCGACCATGACAAGACATTTATCCTTCAGCAACCTCTCTGGCCCAGCTTCTAGCAGTCGCAAACCATCTTCTATAATATTATACAGACCTCCAACCCACTTCCAGCAGTCGCCAGCCACCTCCCAACTACCGCACAGGCCTCCAGGCCCTTCCCAGCTGCCACCCGACCTCGGACCACCTCCCAACAACCGTAGAGACCTCTTTTGGCTCTCTTCCGGTTGTTGGTCACCCCTTCCCTAACAACCTGGCATCCCTCCAGCACTACTCCAAAAGGTCACTGATCTCTTCCACCTATCAGACAGAATTCCAAGCATCTCCCCCTTCAATCAGTACCATCGCCACCTGCTTCCAACCCTTCCAATCGCTGCAGCAGCATGTCCCCGCCCCTCCAACAGCTGTCGCAGCCACTCCACCAAATCCAGCCAATGATGATTGCCTTCCAACACATCCTACTACTGTCGTCTTCACCGATCGATCTTCTACTTGTTGGCCAGCCGTCACCCACCCCCTCATGTCATCGCCCTAGGGTGTATTTTTATGTTGTCGTTTATTTCATGTTCGCAATAATTTTGTTTGTAACCAGTTGAATTCAATAATAATAACAATGTTTTTTCGTGGTGGTATGGGTTTACTCCGGTATCAACATTGATCATAGTTCATGTAAAAATCAAACAAGTTATTGGAAATTTTTTGTGCTACTAGACGACAAAAATATTGATTACTTCCAAATACCACATGACGAGGACAAATACAAAAAAAAACTGCACGGCATGTTTACAATGCAATAATCTTGTGTTGCTTATTTAAAAAAGAAACCCCAAACCTACAATCCCTCCAAGGGTTTCACAACCATAAAAAAAACATCTGTGGAACAACTTGTAAACCTCCAGCAGAGAGGCCAATTTTATTTCACACAACATAGCAATACAAGATTATAGACATGTGTTCACATGTTTTCTGAATTATAAGACATTTGAACCAAGAATTATTGTGAAAGAGAGGCTAAGATGGAAAACAAGTTTCTTAAGCTTAACTTGATAAAGGTGTCTAACGGTTCTCCGAGTTATAAAAAATTTACAAAAATTAGCAAGTAAGATCAAACAAAAAAAGTAGATAAAAGAATATACGTCACATGAGCAGACCTTTAGAATTCTAAGAACATTTAAAGCTTCCAGTTGAGTAGCATCAGCAACAGAGATAACAATGCGTTTTTTTCCTTCAGAAGCTGACACATCAAAAACTAACAGTTGAGATTTGGAAGAGGAATGCTAGAGGAAAAAACAGGGAAAAAAGAAAAGCAATTTTCATAAACAATAAAGCATTTGATAATATTGGAAATGGTGGACAAACCAAATCACATACAAGAATCAATAAGAGGCTGAATTGCAGACTCCTGCATTTATGACTATAATAAATGAGCCAAATACAAGAATTATTTCTTGCTCCAAACAAGTATTTTAGATTTAACAACCAGAATTTTATAATGTTTAGCAAAACATTAACCAAGTATAAGCCTCGAACCTTACTAATTTGAGCATATCAAAATAGTTATTACTTCCCAACTAGTTAACACTGAATAAAGAATTTTCCAAACAAAAAAAGGAAATTGGTCCCTGAATATGCGATCACAATATTACATAATAATTGGTCATGATACTATCATTCACCTGGGGTTTGTGGGTACATGAAAAAAAGTTTAATAAATTTGCAAAAGGATGTCGTTATGATCATAACAAGTGCACGAAGCACAGAAAACAACTCTACCGACCGTATGAATTGAACATTGAATTTTGAACATAGCTTCAGTTCATTAAAAGTATCAACCAACCTTATCAGATCATCATTGACTATCATCACAGTACATATTGAAAAGAATTAGGTAAATTTACATACATACCACACAATTCTTATGCATTCACATAAATTTTGATATTTACACTTATAACATCTTGGTGTCATAAACCTATACATGAAAAGAAGTATTTCAGTCATTGTACCACAATCTATAAGGTGGTTGCAAAGTCCTGGTGATCCGACTTAAAGGAACACTTCCATTTCTTATCTCCGAGGAACACGGAGCTTCTGTTCCGCATAGAGCTATCTCAAACCATTGCTTGGTGGCACAAGAGATGGTTAACAAATTAAAGCACTCCAAGGCCAAATGCGGCCTCATGAAGACCAAAATAGTATGGAGAAAGCCTATGACAAAATGAGTTGGGTCACTCTTCGTGGCGCCCTTGAAGCAGGTACATCCGAGGTTTGCTTTACTTGTCAATGGGAAACAATCGACTTGGATCGAGGCAAAATGTGGCTTCCAATAGGGATGTCCATTATCCCCTTATTTATTTATCTTATGTGTTGCTCTTCTCTCACAAGCTCTCTCTCAACGAGCTAGACACATTGGCATCAAATTGGCGAATAGCGCCACTTCCATTTCTTATTTACTTTATGTGGACAACATTATCCTTTTCTCAGAAGCATCTATGGCAGCGGCTAAAACTTTAATGAAGATTATGATGGATTATTGTAAATGGAAGCGACTAAAACTTTAATGAAGATTATGATGGATTATTGTAAATGGATTGGCTGGTGTAATAATGAAGATAAATCAACCAACCTTTTCAGCAAAGCTATTTGTGATTGGAAGAAACACCGTATATCGAAACCTGAATTTTAAAACAGTGACCGACAATGAATATCTCGATATTGAATTTGGTCTAAGAAAATTAACCAAATCAGATTTTTCTGATTTTCTAGACAAAGCTGTCACTAAAATCAATGCCTGGGGAAATAGATAAACATCTTGGCAGGCCAGACCACACTGATCAAATCTTGTCTTCTCCCTATGGCCATGTATGCAATTGCTCACACGGAGATGCCAATCAGCCCCTTAAATGAAATTGAATGCTGTTGCCCAAATTTTCTTTGACGCAAAATATTTCACCATCATGCAGTTCACTATCTTGGCTGGGAGACACTTTCCCAGCTGGCCTGCATTGGTGGCCTTGGATTTCACGCAAATAAGAATTGGAGAGGGCCTTTAAGGGCTCCAATTATTTTGTTGGCTATGCAGAATACAAATTTTCTTCTCCACAAATGTTTGAAAGCCAAATATGGGCTGAATCTCACGTCCCACATCTACAATCGCACTAACTCCAATACCTGGAAGATTGTTTGTGAGGGCTTTCAATATCTGCAGCCTATTACCTGATGGAAAGTGGCGGTCGGCACCAAAATCAATATTCTTAATCAAGCATGGATTAATGATACCCCAATTAGCAAGTGGCCCTTATCCAGCCAACATCAGTGCGGTTGAGAATAAGAATGTCCCTAACAAGATCTCGAACGGAACCTGGAACTATCAACTCCTGCAGCATCATTTTGGCACCCAGATGGCTGCTCTTATTTCACAAGTCCAGATATTTGGAAACCTGCATGAAGAAAGTATTGATCTCAACAAGCTACACACCAGCAAAACTATTACTGCTCTTTCCTATGAGGCAACTTTCCCGACACCCCAAAATAGCTATAGTTGGTACGGTAAACTACAACTTCACCGTCGAGAATGTTTTTTTTTCAGGTGGAGACTCCTTCATGATGCTATTCTCATGGGTTCATGGGTCACTAGGGGAGGACTCGCGGACAACCCGAACTACCCCTGGGGTTGCTTCATTATTGAAGACCAAATCCATCATATTTCTGACTGCTTGCTTTTTTGCAGGGTCAAAAAAGTTCTTTTGTCATGGGAGAACCACTTACCAACCTATAGAGATTTTGAGGAAGCTATTAGGGAGCATGGCAACATCCAGAAGAGCAAGCTTGCCCATCTGCGTTGATTTTGCTATGCTATCCACCATTGTTGGCTGGCAAGAAACGCTAAGACTCATCACCGCACCGACAACAACCCGACCATCATCGCTGTGACGGTTCTTGGTGAACTCACAAAGATGGTTTTTTTTTTTTTTTCCTATTCCAGGGGCAATGGGATTCTACTTGCTAGCCACTAGTCGGGAACAGTTTTTACTACTTCATGGCATCCCATTGTAATGGGGCCGCTCAGATTGTGCCAAACGTACCCTTATTGGCTCTTTCTTTTCGTTGCATGTACATGATGATAGAAAACTTTCCTTTATACTTGTAGATGATAGGTCTCATTTTTGTACACCATAGATTCATACATGCATAGTTTTGTAATTTTTTGACATATTAAAGCAAATGCACGTCATTCAAGAAGAGGTATATTTCACTTTTAAAAAGGAATTAAAGGTAATAATTTTAATATGATGTTAAAGACTTGAATGGTAGATGTAAATATGAATGTTTGGGTTGTTAGATAAGTAAATAAATTATAATTATGTAGTATGTATGTAAATACCCCAAAAATTTAAAGAATAAACAAAGAATAAAAATACTCCTGACAAGAAGAGTCAATTATGTAAGCTGCAAAGACTACTAAGCTATTACTCAATGAACATTGAACCTCTCTTTAGAAAAAAAAATCAATTTATATGAATAAGATTGCCATCAACTCTTGAATATAATGAAATACCAATGTTTGCATAGAAAACATAAGATAAGAAAAGAAAATTTGGTAACTTGAAGCCTAAATGAAATTAAAAGATGGGAAAAATAAATAAAAAAATGTGTGAAAGAATCTTGATTCTTTCCGACAAAGCATAAAATAGGAAGGATGAATGGACGGATGTGGATGCAAAAGCGTATCGAGAGGTTGTTAGTGCAGGCAAAAAAGACAGCTCTTGCGGGTAGAGTGCCTAAAATATTGAAAATATAAAAGGATACGTGGTACAAATTGTGGCAAAATTAGTAATATTGTTGTGTCTCTAGCATGCATTTGCATATGTACTCATAGTTTTCTGTAATAACGGAATTTTTTTAAAATAAATAAAATAACAAAAACAACAACAACAATAATAATAATAACAATAAATAAAATAAAATAAGTGTCAGTTAGAAGAGACACACCCCCTTGCAGAATTCAAATTGCACACTTCTTTCGCACTTGCCCCTCATTTGAACCATTGAACGAACGAGGAGAGACAGCGGGAGAGGAGAAGAATAGAAAAAGAGGTGAAGTTGTAATGCCCTAATTCAAAAGAAGAAGAAGGGCGGAGGAATCGTAGCAAAAAAACAAGAAAATGAAAAACCGCAGCATCGTCAAGGAGTTTCACATCATACACCACTGTCGATACAAGTCGCTTTCTGTGAGTGAAAGGCAACGGGAAGAGAAAAAGAAGTTGAAGGGGGAAGGTTTATATGGTTCCTCCTTGACATACGACAATTACCACACTCGAACGGTCAAAAGAGGTTGAGGAGAGAGGAGATCGGCTCGTCGTGAGGCGTTAAAGTCAAACTAGGTGCTATCTTGTGTCGCCATGTGTGAAGAAAGAGAACCAAACGATGTCGAAGAAGGAAGGAGCAGGAGGCGGCGTTGTGTGCATGCGGAGTTAAGTTGATCCACAACTGAAAGAATAAAAGGAAAGAGGAGAGGCTCGCATGTGTGCAGATGAAGACCGAACTGAGCACTATTAATGATAAGGATATGGTTTTGTTTAATTAAGTATAGGTTAAAAATTTTGTAAAATTATTAATTTTGTATTAACGTTGATATTTTGATCTAAATCGACATTTAAAAAAATTCAATTCAAAAGATTAGGTCTTTAGATCGTGGATTTTGTAAGGAGCAAGAAAAAGATAGGTGGAGAATTATATATATTTTTATTTAGGGTTAATTACATATATATATATATATAGCACCCGAAACATTGATATTTACAAAATCTAGCACCATGTGCTATTTTTTAACTATCAACCCGATGTATTTACAAGTGCCACGATTAAAAAATTGAAAATTTCACAAAAATAATATAGGGGGAGGTTTTATAATGGATTTTGATATTTCAGTGATATGCAACAAGCGGAACACACATCTATCCAGCTTTCCCATACAAGAATAAGCTTTTATTGTCTTCTACAGAAGATATAATCCATATCAAACAATAAAAGACTTCCCATACATCTAGTGGAACAACCTCATAAACTACCCAATCAAAAATACTTCTCAAGACAAGACTAAGAGTACAATGTCAGATGGCTCAACAAAAAAAATAATATTATTCTAAAGCCGACTCAGATAATCATTTTTAAATGTTGAATCGTCAATAGCACAGTTTCTTCAACTGAAACTTCATTCATTAAATCCATCTTACCTAGTATTAAGAAAAACCTTAATTTGATCAACTTTACTAGACACTTCTGAGAAGGAATTCCTCCTTAGCCTCATCACTATTAAATACACGAAACAGCAAAGCCAGTCTTTTGCTCGAATTTCACTTACTTATTAAGAGGTAGTGACAACAATCTTCTTCATTTCTTCCCACTATGGCTGCTTTGCTGGATACAAATTCTAACAATTTTTAAGATTGTGCCTTGGATTTCTTGCAATAAAGATGCAATGGTCTATTGTCATGCACCTTCGTAGATGCCAGTACAATTTCTCATCTTTCCAAATTGAATTTTAAGATTTTTATCCACAAGAAAAAAATACTTGCTCTTTTTTAACCAATATTATGGTTGTAATGATTGATAAAAGAATATTTGCAACTGGAAACATCTTCAGCTTTATATGCATACTCATGAAGTCCAAACACATGCTTCATAAAGACAAGACATCTTATTTAATGAAACCTCTTAAACAACAGCTTTTCTTCTAAATTGTCATATATTCTTGCACATTCTATTCACTCCCTTGTAACAGATTCTACCATCAAATACATTTTTCTTCCTCAAACACAATGGAGTAGAACTAAGTTTTTAATAACTCCTTGAACTATGATCATGCCACGGCTGGAAAATCATAATTCTTAGATTATGAATTCCACCACAGTAAATCATTTTAAGATAACTTTAAATGAGCATAGGTGTTCTTCATTCCAAAAAATAATACAAAGTGAAGCGTCTCGCAAATTTCAAACTTCTTTGATATTAATGATAAAATTATCTTCTTATCCCCTTGTTGGGACCTTTTGTAAGTTGTTCTCTTGTTGGACATTTCTCCTATCATATGAGCAGTAAAGCAAATGAAAGTAAAAGAGTATACTAGTAACCATAGCTTCGAAGGAAGCCAGAATTATGGTCATCTAATCAACCATCTATTATTGCGTTCTAAGAAAATGCCCGTCCAGTTCTTGAACTCTCTTTTTGTACCATAGACTATTTGTCTATTTCTTTTCAAGTCCCTTATCTCACCATCAAATTTTTGAACGAGTTGGAACTTTCCCCTGATACAAAATTACAATCTATAATTAGATTTGTGGGATACTTTTGGAGCATTTAAAACCTTTTAAGGATGAGAAGCATGGTTCTCAAAATATCTATGACGGACTATGACGAACTATGATGGAATTGGGTTTTTTTTATATAAATTTTCTCCAAAGAAAGAAACCGATGACCTCTTCTTCCTCCTAGGCAAGCATGGAGCTAATCCTGAAAACATCCAACCAACAAACAAAAGTAGCAGGATCTCAATTAAGAAATTTGTAGCACTGACTTTCTGCAATATCGTGCTTTGCTACAATGACTTTGCAACAATGCCACATTCTGCAATGATGCTGATATTCTAAGATCCCAATCTAAGAAAAAAGTGAAAATAGAAAAATTATTTTGAGAACTTTGTTCTACTTTTCAATGCTTGAATTATGGATTTTAAAAAAGGTAATTTACAAAATAAAATAATCTGAATTTAATTATATCTTCTTTTGAACTAACTCTACAATTTAAAAGAAATAATATTGTTCTTAAACTAAATTTATAAAATAAAGATAGCCGTATCCTTCTTAAACCACCTCCACTAAAAAGAAAGCCTCGTCTAAAATTTAAAATACAAAATATAAACTTAACTAATAAGTTTAAAATTCAAAACTCATTTTATCCAACGGTAATTTAAATTATAATCCAATGATACAACTTTCAAGTCCTTTATCAGTCTAATATGAAATCCTATTTGCAATTTGTCATCACATGTGGACTTTTGATGATTTTCTTATCGAACAATGTGATCTAAATAATTCTTCCCGAAAATCCACTATCAATGTTATCAAATGAGAAAATTTTACTGCCTTTTTATCAAATGAACTCAAGAATTCTTGAAATCAAGTCTACTAATAATTTAATAATGCCAAAGAGAATGAAAAGTTTTGAAATTTCATGGAAAAGTATAAGAATGGACTTAATTGGTTGAATTCCACCCCACCCACTATATACATAAATATATAAATCATAACAAATTGTATAAACTTGCAAAGAATATGTATTATTACCCATGATGCTAAAAGATTCAATGCAATCAAACTGAAAATATTTTCTCAGCCATCAAAGCCATTATTTGAGAAACTATGGAGTTCTTTAGTTTGAATTTGTATTCTTTCCCAGCTTGTATAGGAAATCATAGTAAAAGATTCAGGCTTACCGATTCTATAGTTGCTCATGTTTGTCTTAACAAAAAACGAATTGAACCTATTTTGTGCATAGACTGCTAAAATTCTCATTTACACGTTTAATGACACCAAAAGTTAGTCTAGTGAGAAATGTAGCTCTACAACATGGTTGTTAATAAAATGGATACCAGATTTGTACTCAGCACTTTCAAGAGGAACCTCTTGAATAGATGATGTAGCTGATTCTATAGCGTTGTCAGCTCCTTCTGAAAGCTCATAATGTGCCGAATTGTCATGAAATACACCGAATGGAGAACTTAATTTTACTTTGAAGCCTGCAAAGTTAGTTAATGTGCATTGGTTGTATCTATAAAAGTAGAAATAAAATTTTTAAAACAAATAGTAGATAAACGGAATCTTTTGAAAACACAGAAGGTAACAAATTAGTAATGAAACATTTATTTGAAAGTGAAATCTGCAAATGTATTTTTACTAAGCCTCAATTAAATCTAGAGACGTACAAATACCTATTACAAAACAAATAGAATAGAAATCAAATGTCATGCATATCACATTTTTCCCAACATTTCGTTTAAGGAAAAAAAATTTGCAACCATAATTAGTTCAATGGCTAAATAATAAAAATGAAAATGAAATGCTATTGTTGCATGGTCCATGGAATGGAAGAGGTTGCTATGACAGAGTTTCTCAAAGCGAAGGCAAAGAACAACTTAAATTTCATCACATATATAACACATTCCAATTAGTCATAATAAACAGCTGCATTTATAACTAATTAACCCTTCTCGACAGTAAATGTCATCTTTAACCTTGAAAAACTAACAACTCCTTTCAAAGACAGCAAAAAACATCCTATAAGATCATCCAAAGCATGAATATCAGCTAATCAAAATCCATTCAAAACTCTAGTAATTTATTTAAGAAAATCCAAATGCAAACTGGGTGTTTTTTTCCTACAATCTCTGGAATAAAATATTACAATCAAAAATGCAAAAAAAAAATATTTCGAAAATAAAAAATGTTTCCCAACAAATTTGACTTCGAGGATATCCTTGCCTATTGATCCAACAACTCTTCCTATGGATAAAATGTTGGCAAATTTGCTATGGTAAAACATAGAACAAAAGCAAACGTTCCACTTTGACTCAAGTCAAGTAAGGGACACACAACAAGACTAATCAATAGGTGAATGAAAAGATGAGAAATAAATAGCAATATAAAAAAAAACAACATAATTTAACAATAAAACGTTTGTTCATTGTTTTAAACAACCTCTACCACAGTCCAGCTTATGCTCAATTGATGGCTCACTTCAAGTCTAATTAATACGCTTCCACTTTGCACCCCCAACCCATGCTCTCCACCTCCTAGCCCATCCTGTCCTAAAACCATGCAAAACCATGCAAACTTCCACAATATATATATATATATAGAGAGAGAGAGAGAGAGAGAGAGAGAGAGAGAATTATCCTAATCTAGATCATGAATCAGGTGAAGTAAAGGCGAAACAAGTTAGGTTATTTTCTCTATATGTCCCCATAAGAGAAAAAGGGAAAAACATAAAAACAAATGTTAAAATAAAAAAATCGTTCTTTTGAGTTGACCACTAATAATCACCTATAGGCGGTTATAAACTTATACGCCATTTTAGCTTACCTGAGAGCAGTTAGGTCACGCATTTTCTTCTCATTTTCATAACAGTAAAAGCATTGTGGATTGTGGACTGTTATGGATGATTCCTTATTGAAATCAAAGTATACTCGCCCTGATTGGATTATTTCATAACTTATTTCAATTCCTCTCTTACAAAAGGCCGTCTATTTTGATGGATGAATCATCAAGAGGTGATCTAAATTCAATTTACCATGTATCTTTCCGTTAAAAAACAAGCCTTCTGATTGTCAAACTTTGTTATTCCCATATATATGTTTGATTCATGCATTTTAGTTCTAAGAAATCTATGAAACATATATAATTTAACAAGTTATATTAATATAATAGAAAATGGAATTATTTCAGTGTTTTGTGGCGCATGAATGATTATCATATATTTTTTTTTATGCTAAAAGGTCAAAAAAGAAAAATGTGCATGTCCTATTTAAACTTAGTAGTGACACAGTTAAATTACTTAACACCCAATCTCTTAAAGTAAAATCATTACCATTATGAAATCCAATAGGTTGCACCAGATTGATATGTTTGTCGCCATCTTAGTTGAATTAAATGTTTTTCAGTGAAAGAATTTCAATGCAAAAAATCTCATTATGGATCCATTAATTATTCAAAATATACTAACAATCAACTCTTCAACTGAACAATATGCTACATCAATCATGTTCACCTATAATGCATTAAAGTTTGGTTACATGTATGTGAATGCGAAGAAGAGCCTCAAAAATTCTCCACCTTCTATGAGCAAATCACATGACATCCCAAGAGTCGCGATGCAACCGCACATCAACACGTCTAGGTCTAAAAAAGTAAACTCAAGCCTATTTTTTTAATAAATCTAGTTTCAACTCCATTATTAAGTAAATTTAGGATGCCTTAAGTTCTGCCTTTCAAATGATTAAACTAATTTAAGGATTTATCCATATTGCAGATTTTAGAACCTAAAGAAATAGCCAAACAATGCACCAAAAAATTAGCAAGATTTAACATTTGCCGAGGCAGACAATTTTTTTTAATTATTATCTACTCGAGCTTTACTAAATATAGATTTATAGGTTTTATTATATCATAATTGTAGCCAACTTCTACTTACACTATACAAATTGAAGAAAAAATCAAGACACTCGCCTAAAAGTTTATTGACCTCAATTTGTATTGCTCTCTTTGTCAAAATTATTATAAGATGATAAATGACTTAAGCAAACAACCCAAACAAAACTCAACTCAAAAAATTCGAATTCAACTTTACCTTATTAATAGTTGGGTTGAGTTATGGTCAAAAGGGCTAACCATATTATCATTCATGTTGAGTATGAGTATAACCAAAGAACCCAAAAATTGAAATTGACCTTATTACTATTTAGTTTGTGTTAGGTGAGTAATAGGTGGGTTAAACTGTTTAAAAAAAATCAATTTTTTTGTTGATTAGATTGTGTTAATCCGATAAAAATTTTGTATTATCCGTATAAAAAAAGGTTAAACATGTCAAATTCAGGTCAAAAATTTTGACATATATAATAAATAAATCAAAAAAATGGGTCAATTTTAGTCAAACATATTCAGGTCTTATCAACCTTGGGACATATCCAAACCATACCAGTCAACCAGCATTAACACTCCTAAGCAAAAGTGGAACCAGGGAGTGGCTAGGAGAGGCGCTTGTCACCCTTTGAATTTTACTAACCTCTTTAATATCATATAATACGGTGAAAATTTTATCCAGTAAACTTAAATAATTAATAAAAATTAATATTAAATATATTTTTATTTAATAACAATATTTATAATAGTTTTAAAAATTTTCTTGGGAGATAGAAGCATTAAACTTAAATGCTCGCCACCCCGCTCCTTAAGTTCTGGTTACAACTTCTAAGTACAATATTAAATTTCCCACTTTGTTTTTATCAAGCAACAAGCTGTAGTTCAACTAAGCACTTTCTGATCTCATAAATTAACTCACCAAGCCAAAAAAAGAAAAAAAAGAAAACATACCTTTCCTTGAAAAAGAACAGTAAGCCAAAGTGGCCAACAAAACTGCTACTACCGATGTCCCAATCCCAGCAAGAATAACTCTCGAAAACCCTGCAAAGAAAACCACTGAAGTTCCAAGCAATAGCAACAATAAAAGACGTAATATATCAAAAATTGAAAAATAAAACCCTACCAGTTCTATTCTGCTCTTCGACTCTCAGGACGGACCATCCTCCAAAGCCATCTTCATCCGAGCTACCATCCGAGCGGATCCAGGAGGCCTCGAGCTTCCCTTCCAAAGCACAGATGATACCACTTTTACGCGGAGATCTGCAAGCCCTAGTTTCCTTCAATCGCGAAAAGACCGCGGGAGTTCTCACATGGAATTTGCACGAGAGTAAAGGGGGAGCGGAGAGGGGCAGATAGGAGCCCATTTCCTCGCGAGAGCTAGGGTTCCATGGTTCCTCTGAACCGCAGATTATCGCATTCGCGCCAGAGCGAGTGGACCAGTGGCGCTTCCAGATCGGTATTTGAAGGATGAGTGTGCCCGTCCATTCACTTTTGGAAGGCTAGGATGGAGATTATTTAAAACGTGAATAACTCATAAAAATTATGAAGTACTCACATGTTAGTTATAAGTATTTTTTTTAGTAAGTTTTTTTTTATATTTATTAAGTTTGAATTTGTAATATGGCAATAGTTTAGTTTAGTGTGTGGGTGTGGGTGTGGGTGGGTGTGTGGGTGTGTGGGTGTGTGGGTGTGTGATATTCAGGTCTTATCAACCTTGGGACATATCCAAACCATACCAGTCAACCAGCATTAACACTCCTAAGCAAAAGTGGAACCAGGGAGTGGCTAGGAGAGGCGCTTGTCACCCTTTGAATTTTACTAACCTCTTTAATATCATATAATACGGTGAAAATTTTATCCAGTAAACTTAAATAATTAATAAAAATTAATATTAAATATATTTTTATTTAATAACAATATTTATAATAGTTTTAAAAATTTTCTTGGGAGATAGAAGCATTAAACTTAAATGCTCGCCACCCCGCTCCTTAAGTTCTGGTTACAACTTCTAAGTACAATATTAAATTTCCCACTTTGTTTTTATCAAGCAACAAGCTGTAGTTCAACTAAGCACTTTCTGATCTCATAAATTAACTCACCAAGCCAAAAAAAGAAAAAAAAGAAAACATACCTTTCCTTGAAAAAGAACAGTAAGCCAAAGTGGCCAACAAAACTGCTACTACCGATGTCCCAATCCCAGCAAGAATAACTCTCGAAAACCCTGCAAAGAAAACCACTGAAGTTCCAAGCAATAGCAACAATAAAAGACGTAATATATCAAAAATTGAAAAATAAAACCCTACCAGTTCTATTCTGCTCTTCGACTCTCAGGACGGACCATCCTCCAAAGCCATCTTCATCCGAGCTACCATCCGAGCGGATCCAGGAGGCCTCGAGCTTCCCTTCCAAAGCACAGATGATACCACTTTTACGCGGAGATCTGCAAGCCCTAGTTTCCTTCAATCGCGAAAAGACCGCGGGAGTTCTCACATGGAATTTGCACGAGAGTAAAGGGGGAGCGGAGAGGGGCAGATAGGAGCCCATTTCCTCGCGAGAGCTAGGGTTCCATGGTTCCTCTGAACCGCAGATTATCGCATTCGCGCCAGAGCGAGTGGACCAGTGGCGCTTCCAGATCGGTATTTGAAGGATGAGTGTGCCCGTCCATTCACTTTTGGAAGGCTAGGATGGAGATTATTTAAAACGTGAATAACTCATAAAAATTATGAAGTACTCACATGTTAGTTATAAGTATTTTTTTTAGTAAGTTTTTTTTTATATTTATTAAGTTTGAATTTGTAATATGGCAATAGTTTAGTTTAGTGTGTGGGTGTGGGTGTGGGTGGGTGTGTGGGTGTGTGGGTGTGTGGGTGTGTGTGTGTGTGTGTGTGAATTGTGTTAAGTATTCCATATAGTTAATTAGTTATACTTTATAAAGCATGTGATATATATGTCCTATGTCACTTTAAATTTTAAATCATAGCAGTTTGCCTTTTTTTTTTTTTTTTTTGAAAAATTTCCCCGATTATTTACTTATAGTTAAGTTAGTGTGTGTGTAAAAATTGTGTGCTATGTATTGCATATAGTTAATTAGTTATACTTGATATATATGTCCTATGTCACCTTAAATTTTAAATCATAGCAAGTTACCTTTTTTTTTTTTGAGAAATACACTCGAATATTTATTTAGTTTGAATAATCTCTTATTATATATGTGAGTTGCTTATTGAAGTCTTTTGCCCGTATATGGTTTGAACCTAAATTTAAACAAAAGTTCAAACATCTCATTCTTTATAGGGATTTGTACCTGTCGGCACTATTTTTGGTGTGGGGTTTGCCCGTAAGAAGTTGTCGGTCATCGGAATTGAAATTCCGTTGCCCGCTTCGGAAGGACGTTTTAAAAATTTTAATTTTGAAAAAGATGAAGTCAAACTGACCCCATAATTTTCA